CAGAGGCCGCGCGGCGAGAACGCTAGGCGATGGTTGCGGAACGGCGGCGGGCGGAGCGCGAGGCGGCGGCGGCGGCGCGGCGGGAGGAGGAGGCCCGGCGGCGTGCCGAGTGGGAGGAAGCAAATCAACGGAAGCAGCGGGAACGTGAGGCCAAGGCGCAGCGGCAGCGGCAGCTCAAGGAAGCTGCGAACGCGCGTAAGCTGGCAGAGCGTCTCGAACGTGAGGAGCGCAAGCGGGCGGAAATAGAGGCGAGCTACGCTCGACGTCAGGCGGAACATGAGGCGGCGGAGGCGCGACGACGGGCGGAACGGCAAGCAGCGGCGGAGCGGCGGCGGTCGCACAGCGTGACGCCGCCGCGGCCGTCAACGTCAGCGTTGGTGCCAGGAACTAGTACGGCGGCAGCAGGTCTGATGTCGCCGGCGTCGTCAACATCAACGACCCCGACGGCATCGCCAATGCTGCCGATGCCGCCGCCGCCGCCGATGGATCTCGCTCGGGGAGCAACATCGGGAATCATCCATTCTCCCATGCCGGTTCGCTTGGCGCCGCCTCTGTACGGCGGCCCCAACAGCCTGGGGTCCCGCCTGGCTCAAGCCAGCAGTGGCAGCGGCGGTGGTATTGGCAGCGGCGTCGGTGGCGCCAACCAGTTCAACGGCGTCGGCAGCTTCTTAAACGGTGCCGTCGGTACGGATGCCGCTGCCGCCGCCAGCATGAACAGTTTCGCCGAATGGCCATCGTCGGGAACAGTTGGCTCCGGGGCGGCGCCGGCGACGTCAGCGGTGGCGGCTGCTCGGCCGTTGTCCGGCACACGCCCCGGTCCCGCGCTGCTGCCCGCCCAAACCGCACCCTGGGCGGCGACACAGGCGCCGTCGACGGAGGGTACGGCAAGTACGGCAATAGGCACCTCTCTGCAGAGACAAAGTGCCTCGGCGACGGCAGCGACCCCAGCGACGCTGACGGCGGCGGCATCGGGCGCGACGCGGCTGGTTTGGGGCCAGGACCTGGCTCTTGCCGTACGCGGAGCCAGCTTGGACGTTCGCACCAGCAGCGGCGCTGCCGCCGCCAAGGACGCCGTACCACCTGCGCGGCGTTCTAGCCTCTCACAGGCAATTGTAAGACCTGAAGGCGGCGGCGGCTCCGGCGGCACCGCCGCTGCCGACGGCGGCGGCGACGACGATATGGACGAGCTGACTGCGCGACTGGTTGCTCGAGCGCAGCAGTTTGCCGGGATCGGGCCTCCCTCTGGCGATGTCGTACTGCCGAGCCACGTGTCGACGTCAGCGGTGAGTAGCGGCTGTGGTGACGGAGGTGAAGTGCTGCGGGCCGCTGCAGGTCGCTGCTGCGGAGGTTTGCGGGACAGAGAGTGGCAGGGGAGGGGAGGGGAGGTATAATGTTCTTCTTTGCCGTACAGAGGGTCGTCCTACCCTCCCGCACCCCTTGGCGGGACGGTACGTGCCAGCTTGTAAATTCACATGAACCATTTTTATTCATCATGTCAAATATATATATTTCATTAAGTACTTTCATTCCGGGTAACCCGTGCTGCCGCTACTGCTGCTGTTGTTGTTATTGTTCTCTTACCGTGTGCCGTGTTCTACAACGTACGGTATTGCCTGCAGGCGCCACCCTCATCTCTTCATTCGCCGAGTTGGAGCAACCCGCAGCCCTTGAAGCTGGCGCAGTCAACACCCTCACCCATGGCCTCCGTGCCGCTGCCGCCGCCGCCGCCAGTCTCGGCTTTGCCGGATGGTGGGAAGCAAAGGCCTCCTTCCAGCAGCCCAACACACCCCGCACCGGTTGCCCGAACAACCACCACCACCACTCAGCAGCAGCAGCAGCAGCAGAAGCCTCCGTCGCAGGCGGCGGCTGGCTCCCCACAATCTTCAACCTCGCTTCCACAGCCGCCGCCGCTGCTGCAGCAACAGCAGCAGCAAAAGCTTGAGGAGCAGTTAGAGCAGCTGCAGCAACAGCTGGTACAGCTACAGCAGCTGCAGCAGCAGCAGCAACAACAACAACAACAACAACGAGGCCGGCGGATCACCAACACCGCCACCACCACCACCACAACAACAGCAGCAAAAGTTCAATCGCCCAACATTACCTCGCCTGTGGGGTCCTCTGGACCTCTGGCGTCGCTGCCGCCGACGGTAGCGCCGGCGGCGGCGGCGTCGCCGCCGCCGCCACCCACGCTGCCGTCGCAGCCGACGTTGCCGCTGCGTGAGGCGGCGCTATCGTCGCAGCAGCAGCAGCAGCAGCAGCTGCAGCAGCAGCGGTCGCGATCATATTCGCAAACGGCGGAGATCAGAACAGAGCGACCGCCCGCACCGGCACCAGCGCCGGCACCACCGGGCTCGGGGACGGTGCCACACGATATTGTCGCTCAGGTAAATGGTGTGCAGTTTCTTAAGGCTGTGCGAAATTCGACGTCCGTGCTGCATGCGTTGGGGCTTTCACTTCCGTAAAAGAAACAAAAAAAACGCTCCTCCTAGTTCAACCGCGGAATGAACGCTGCTGTCGTGTTGGTGCGCACTAGGGTTGAAAGGAAGATCTACTGGGGGGTAGTTTCTTAAGGACAAAGAATGAAAGAAGTTCTCCTTCTTCAAGACCGGACTCCGGGATCCACGCTTCCAGTTTTTCCTTCATTCTCTCCCCCATCCACTTTACACGCCACAGGCTCGGGCATTTCTGGAGAGCACCCGTAAGCTCGTGCTTCCCCCAACGGCCAGTTCACAAGCACCCGCGGAAGGCGCAGCGAGCAACCCTAGCTACGACGCCGCCGCCGCCGCTGGCGGCAGCGGTGGCGGTGGCGGCGGCGGCGGCGGCGGCGGCGACCAGCTGATCTCAAAGCGCGCTGGTCGCCACCCATCTCCCCCGCAGGCTATGTTCCTTCCGCCAAGACTGCGCACTACGAACGGCAGCAGCGGCGGAGCAGTTGTACGGAAAGTCAGCGGTGAGGGAATGACGCCGACGGCTTTGGAGATTGAGGCGGCATCTGCGAGCTCCACAGGCCCCCAGATCAGCCTGCTGTCTTCCTATCCAAGCCAGCTCCAGAACCAGGCTCCAAACCAAAGTCAGGGCTCGTTGTTGACATCAACATTGTCGGCGCCAGGGTTGGCACCTAACGGGCGGGCGGCGGTCCCGACTAGCGGCGGTGACGGTGGCCGTCTCGACGTTGTCGTACAGGGTCCGGTCGTCAACCGTATCTCCGGTGAGATGCTGTTGGCGGCGACATCAACTCAAGCCGTCGCCAGCGGCGGGCCGCCGCCGCCGCTGGCGGCATCTCCCACGACTACCCCCACGGCAAGCCGCTTGGACCCACCATCCGGTACGGCGGCGGCGGACGGAAGTACGAGGGGCATTCCGGGTCTACATCGCTTGGCGGACGGCACGTTTCAGCAGGCGGAAGAAGACTCCGGGTAAAGATTGGGTGACATTGGGCTTGGTGGTGAGGTTGTAAGCAGTAGCTGGCCGCTGAAAAGGCCTCTCAAGATGCTGGCGGAGGGCCTTATTAGCGCGTATTTTTGTAGACGTTATGTGTGCCGTACAATGTATCAGCTACTACATTGTACGACGCATTTTGTCGTACAACCTATGCAAGAGGAATCCGTGGGAAAGGAGAGGCGAAAATGCACATGCATACCCCTCGCTGTGTTTCGGCCCTGGGCCCCCGGCTTTTAAGCCGACAGCGTAATCAACGCCGTACATCCGCGCACCTGGCTGCTGACAAAGCAAAGACCCGCAGGCTTAGGGTTGCCGTCATTCATTATTCAGGATCCTTACTGCGGTTTTTTGCCTCACAGCAACATTACGGAACATTCATTCCGTGGTGTACGGAAGCCGGGGTCATTCTCTTTCGACCCTCCCTCCCTGCAGCTTCCTCCCCCTTTTTAATCCCTCCAACCAACTTGCCAGGGTTGCCGCACCAAGCGATCTCTTCCACACCAACCTCCACACCAACCCCCACCACACCGCCACCACACCGCCAGCAACCCCCCCGACGGCGTCCTTGTGCAGGATGTGGCTCGCTCGTCAAGGGAAAATGAGCCCGCCTGGCAGCGAGACAACCATCAGGCTGCAGCCACAGCTGCAGCCGCAGCTACAGCCACAGCTACAGCCACAGCTGCAGCCGCAGCTGCAGCAGTCCCAACCTCCTTTTGCAGGTGCTGTGCAGCTATTGCCCTCGTCATATACGGCACCGCCGCTGCCGTCATTGCTGCCTGAGGCCGCGGCGCCACCCAGCGGCACCGTCGCCGGCATCAGCAGCGTCGGCAGCACGCCAACCCGTGGGGCTAGTGCTGCTACGACAGGTGCCGCCGCCGCCGCCAGCAGCGGTGGGGGCGGCGGCAGCGGTGGCAAGCAGCAGCGGTTTAGCAGCATTGAGTCCGTCCGGAAGGGCCTCGGCCGCATTGGCAAGAAGCTTGTTGGCGGGCTGACCAACCCTTGAGGATGTGGCGCATGGGAGGCCGGCAGGTGGTGGGTGGGGATTCCCTGTGGGGGAAACGAGGGTTTGGGTGGGAGTGGTGGCCCCGCCGCCGCCGCCGGTTGGCTGATTATGCTCATGTCGTGCGATCGACATGTAAGATTGCCGATATCATCAGTGGCGGCCCCATCTTGGTGCGCATCGTCCTCCCCCGCCCCTTGTCGAGATGAGGTTGCGGGGCCGAGCGGGGGTGGGCACTCTGCGGGTGGAGCCCACCGCGCTGCTTCATTATATGTGTCTGTCTGTGTGTGTATGCGTGTGCTGTGCGTCGCACGCAAAAAGGGGTGGCGGGGAGGGAAGCAGTGCTCGGGGCGCTGGGCTATCTCAGTTGGTGATATGTACATCTGGGCCGGCGGGGGGACCGGTGCTTGTTGTCTTTTGCTGTCGTGGTGTGCATTTCTGTTAGGAACGCATCTCGCCTTCCTTTTTAGCTTTGGATTTGTTTGGGTAGTAGCAGCGTTTTGCTGTAGATTGGGTTGTGAGCGTACGCTAGGGCTTTCCTTAGCAGGGGCGTCGCCCTCGCCGCGGGCCAAGGAAGCCGCATCCGGATATGTGTTGGCGGGAGGGAGAGAGCGGCAGGAGGGCCCCGGGGGTTGCTGTGTGCGTTGCTTGCCTCTATATGAGGCGCCGGCGTGCTGTGAGGCACGTGTATAACGCGTGTATATTCGCTTGTTTTGGTGTGCTCTCGTTCGTTTGCGGTCGGGACTAGTCGAACCTGGGCAAACGGCCCGTGCGGTCTTCCTTGGGAAGTGACATTTGGTGGAAGTGGTACGGACGCGGTGTGCATGATAGGGTCGTCAGAGCGGCGCAGGGGTCCCCCGTATTGAAATTCGGCTGCCCCTTCACGGCCTTCAAGCCCGTTAAAACACGCGTACATACTGACAGACATACGGACGAGGTGGGCAGTATGGCGTTGCGGTCGTTGGAAAAGGACGGAATGGACCTCACCTTATTTTTATGTGCAGAAGCGGCAGAAGCAACAGTAGCGGCTCTTGCACAGCGCCAGTGCGCGAGTGAGTGATTTGAAGACAGCGACAGAGCCGCAACATACGTCTCGTTTTGTTGTGTCGATGACGAGGCGATGACGGGTTGTAGACTGTGCGTTATGCAGAGATGCAGTACAACAGGCGCGGGATTGTACTGCATGGCTGACCCGCGTTCGAATATCGCAGGTTAAATAAAACCCGCATTGCAGGTGGGACCCTCGGGACGTGGAAGATGATCCCCTGCTTGGTTCAAATTGGACAAATCTATGTGTCCTGAAGTACGAATGTCTGATGTTTGTGATGGTGGTGATGGTGGAGCGCACGGTGCCACCTGCTCTGCCCTGTGATGCGATGTGAGCACTAGATCCTCGTGGTGGAGCCTTAGGGTTTTTATGTATGCTGGAACCCTCCCCCTGGAGGCAGGGGGGTTGGGTGGCGAGGAAGCCAATTTAGCCAAGACCTTATATGCCGACTTCAAAAACGAACCCTCTTCATCATCTCAAGTTTAGAATCTTCAAGTGTGTTGCGAGAAGTTGCCCTGCGCTGCTGGAGTGCGTGGGAATTGTTTGCCGACGTTCCGTCCGTCTGCCTGTCTGTCTGCCTGTCTGTCTGTTTGTAACGCCTGCTGTCGGGGACACGACAGTGCAAGTTCTGAGGCTGTCGGCCCACGACTGGACCCAACCGCCGCAACCTGTTGTTGGTGCTGATTCTGACGGTAAGATGGTTCCAGGTTGTGTGTGTGTCCAATGGCCAGCGCCAGAGGCGAGGCTGGATTGTGGTGTTGAACCCTTACCGTAGTGTGTCTGTGGTTAGTGCGCTCTGGAGGAGCCACTGCATAACACTAGCACCCCAACGACGATGCGAGATGCTGTCCGTTTGCTGTCCGTCTGTCCGTCCGTCTGTCTGTCTGTCTGTCCGTTCGGGCAAGCCGTTCGAGCAATGCGCTCTGCGTGTCCGCACATTCATAGATCGTTCGAACCATTATCAACCTCTTGATGTGCAGCAGAATGACTTTTGGTTGCTTTACCCCCCGCGCGCTGCCGAGCTGGAGGGGGTAACACGGTGTGTATGTGGCCCGGCCGGCCACCTCACGCCTGTTGTCCTCCGTGTGTTTCTTGGAACGGGACACTGCAGCGAGGCAGTGTCCCGTTCTGCCTCGCTTGGTGGATGAAGGACTGCTTGCTTGCTTGCCGCAGCCGCACCTAAGTCAATCATGTCTGCTCGGGACAGACTCACAGCTTTGTACCGTGTCGAGGTGTCAACTACACCTATCTATCTCAGCGGGTGGTACGTGTGTGCGTGTTTGTGTTTTGTGTCCTTTTTATTGGAAAAAACGCATACCTGGAGTATGCGCGCCGCGGGTAGTGATCTGTCCGCCAGGTGGTCAAGGGGTGCACTCCTCCATGCCCCCGTCCTCCACCACGCCCCGCTGCATCCCCTACCCAACGATTTGCTTTTGGATAGAGAATGGAGATGAAGTGACTTCGCATTCCAACGGCCATGCTGGAGCCCTTTGATGACTTCCTGGTGCATGTGCCGGGGGTTATAGTGTACGTGCTGCTCGCAGTCTGCGGCAGCTAGCGTTGGTGGTGTTGTAGTACGGCACGAGAGTGTGGTCGGAGCCAATGAGCGCGTAAGCATGTATGTATGGACGAGTGCACAGATGTGTACGGCAGCCATGCCATGTGTGCGTTTTTGGCGCTGCTGTACACTGGGTCAAGCACACGGGTATCTAGATCACTTGTGCATATGGGCTGAGGGTGTTGGTGCAAATGCGGTAGCCCACGTATGCCGCGCCTTGGACGAAGTTGTACGGTGCAACATGTCGCATATACGGTTCCGCTGCTGGCCACGCTGAGTACGTCGAGTACGGCGCATGTTTGGGCCGCCGACAGCGGCGAGGGGGAGTATGTCAACAGTTGTCCAGGGAGGGGGCTAAGTCCCCCGCCCGCCATCCGCTAAAGCTCCTTGGGCCGTTTTATCCCGCTGGCCAGAGAGGTCCACCTCGCATGAGCCTGCAGGGCTGATAAGGTCTGTTGGTGGCCATGATTAGCACGGCCTAGTGCCTACCTAGCCCTCCAGGGTCCTTAGCTCTCAGGTGTGTTGTTTCCGCATAGTTATGCTGCACGACGGATAATGGGGAGACCAAGATTCCAGTTCAGGAAAAAGACGTTTTGGAGAGAAAGTACGATCACTGTTTCTTGCCGCATACAAGCAGTGCTATCAGGGTTCTTGGCTACCAGGGTTCTTGAGATCTCAGGAACAGGGTTGCCGTATTACAGAATAATACGCCAAGCACAGTTACACTGGCGAGGTGGTCGATTTTTCGGGCGGCGTATTAGTTTAACCGTATGGTCATACGGGCTCCAAACCGCTTGTTCTTACCCCAAACAGCGCGTACTACTCTCTGAGCCATGATCGCCTGACAGCGGTCTGCCTTGGGAAACGGATTTCCCCGGATTTCGCAATGACCAGCGGCTCGAAGGAGTCCATGAGATTTGATATCTGGTTTGCGAAAAGAAAATTCTTGGAAAACCTTCTGCCGAACAAATGCGTTGCATTTTGAGACAAAACGCATTTGTCTCAAAAGAATTGCTCTGCGTAACCAGCTTGGCCGCTGTTCATGATCAAATAATTTCGTAAGTAAGCGATATTGTGTAGTTTACTTCAGGCGTCGCCTTATTGGGGGATTAAGGTGGTGACCGGATTTTTCGTCCAGAACGCAGGGCTCAGGACGGCTCAGGCATGATTTAAGCAATACGCAGCAGTGAATGCAGGCTTATGCTATTCCATCCATGCAACCCTGGCCTAGCGTGCACCCGAACATGTGACATGAGCTGACTGCGTTGCATTTCCTTTCCATTAGGCCTGCACAATGTGTGCACTTCACGTGACTGCAGGCGTTGGCCGTGTAATAATTATGGACAGCATGAGCCGTGGACGCCTCTCGTAGTTGTCCTGTAGTTGCACTGTTTTTGACCGGTTGGTCAATACTTCCGGGTCAACGACTGCCAAAAGCATCATCTGCAACTGTTCAGACACTTAGAATTGCCCAATTCAAGCTTAATGAGCAGCTTTTTCTCGTGCTCTCTGTATTAATACTGCAATAAAGTAGCGTTCAAGTTGAACCCCGGGGTCCTCAAAGGATGTAGGCGATTGTTGCAGGCAACTAATCGTAAATGAAGTATAATGTGTAACGGATTCGGGTGTTGCGTTGATGTGCCCCGTCCAGCTCAGCATCAGCTGGCTCGTATTTTTGAACGGAGCGAAGGTGCGGCATCTGGGGCATCATCTCAGCACCTGTCGAAATCCTCCTGACCCAAATTGCTATATAACACGTACTCTTCTAATTGAATAGGCCCAACTACTTGCGTTTCAGAATTATCCTTGCTCTTTACGCCCAAGCGACACTATGACACCTTAGACGCAAGAGGCTTTTTGCATGCAATGTAGCAATGGCGGATATTTCGGATGGCCCCTGGTGGCTGGGGTATTCAGCCTCGCTCTGTCGCCGTTGTGAGAACCCTTGTTGCTCAGCCCAAAGGCCTCGCTTCTGCACATACAGCGCACATAACCTGAACCTCGGCCGTGTCACGAATATCTTCTAGCCGAAACTTCGGATTCGCAGCGTCCGGGGGACACGTCGGCACTGTGATGACTTCAGCGGTCTTCATTCAGCACGAGCCATCGGCTCGCGGGCCAGGCCATTTCAGCTCGACCAGCTATGGATCATCTCCCGCAGGATCCCTGCCAGCTTTCTCACCGCCATCAGCGTATGCGTATTCTGGTGCGTTGGGCGTAGCTGGAGCTTCACCACCTTTCCGCGGAGGCTCTTCTTCCGCCGGTGGAGACAAGGCAAATCCCTACCTGGCAGCCAAAAAATTCTGGAAACGTCTCTGCTTCGATCCCGCCCTCGACCCAACTGAGTACAAGGTAAGGACGGGTGGAAGGTCAGGCAACCCAAAGCAACCAACGCTGTTCACAGCCCTCTGGGAAAGGCACCTCTGCAACAGATACAAAGCCCGCATGAGGTGAGTACAGCGCAGGGCGAGACGCACGCAAGGGGCATCAGGTCGCCTTTGGCACCGTTACTTTGACCAGAACCTGCTAGTCAACAAGTTGACCTCTTGTAAATGTCCTGATACATGGTTGGGGTCTCTGGAAGCGTAAACCTCGTACATGAAAATGCGCCCATGAAAACTCCTAACGAACACAACGTTTGTCATTTCGTTGACCCACGCTTTAGTAGCGATGCAACGCCAGGTAGCGGATATTTGGGGGATTTTGGCTGGCGCGCGCCCAATGTCATTTCCGCATGTCACCTCCCCCCCGGAAGCAAAAGCACATGTGCACAAGAACAGGCAGACTGTAACTTTGAGCTTGGATTCGTGTAGCGTTGGGTTTGTTGGAGGGACAAACTGAATGACATGGGGTCCTACACACCGGATCGACGAAGCACATTTAATCTCAACAATTCTGGATTTAAAACTTTCGAAGCGAATATGAAAACCGAAAGCAAAGGGACCTGACCCACATCGAGAGCTTTAAGTTTGGGCGTACAATTGCACAAGCTACCCACCCACCCGCACTGCCTCCCTCCCGCCTTCTCGCCCAGATCGGCTTCATCGAAACGGTGCAGCAGCCTGAGCGAAAATCGGGTGTCGAGGCATGGAGCATGCGGCTGCACGACAGGCTTTGTGAACTACCGTACAACCTGTTCGTTGAGCGGTTTTGTGGCGGCGCTGGAGACGGCTCGCTGCATCCCGCCAACGCCTCCCCGAGCGCGGCCGTGTCCACGAGTGATGAGGCCGCCAGTGATGTTCCGTACCACCGGATTGCGTATTTTAAGCACGGCAATGTCGTAGTCTGGTGAGATTTTTTTCCCGTCACAGCTTTTTGCCCGTTGGTCAATCCGTTGATGTATGTCTACCTGTGCGGCAATCGTATCCATCGGCCTTGAGACGCTGCGTCATGCCCTTTCCCTCACCCTCACCCGGCATATGCCGCTTGTCATGTGTCGCTTACCGACGTGAACTGGTCTGCTCTCCTCCCGTGGCTTCTTATGTTACAATTTTTTTGCAAGTTGTTATGGGAGGTGGTGTTGTGTTGGCTAAAGCGCGGAGCGCTTAAAGTCCGCCTTAACGACTTGGAGGGCTGTAGTGCAAACGACAAATTGCGTGAGCTTTGGAGTGGCCGGGGCGATGGAGTCATGCTCGTATACACTCACATGCTAACTCCCAACTGCCGTACATGCTGTACGACAACCGCCAGGGAGTCTGAGTACCACAAGCGCCGACTCAATGACCTGGCGCCAGCGAACCCCGCGGCCGGCGGATCTGACGGCGGCGGCGCCTCCGCCTCCGCCATCGCCGCTGCAATGGCAACGGCAACGGCTACAACGCCCCGCGGCGAGCGGTCTCGTCGTCAAGCTAGCCGCGATGGCATGCCGCCGCTGCCCGCCGCCAGCTCCGGGCTCCTTTCCCTGGGCAGCGGCTTCTCTCCGCCCTCCTCCCGATCTCTCCTGAGTGGGCTCGGCTCGGGGGGCGGCAGCTTCTCCGTTCCGCGTCCCGGTCGCAGTCCGCGAGGTGAGGTGTGAGGGGCCGACGTTCGGGTCGTGAGAGGCTCGGCTCCATGTCCCCCCCGGGGGCTGTGTAGTACCACCGTGCGGCCTCCTCCAGCCTTCGTGCTGCTCATCATCAGCTTCCACATTCACGAACCAAATCCATTCCACTTTTCCACTTGCACCCACCTGCATACCCCCCCCTCCCTCCCTCACCTAGTTCCTACGATTTAGCGCCACCCGCATCTTACCTGGCCGAGTTACCTGGCCGTACACAGGAAGCGTAGAAAGCGCAGCTATGGCGGGCAGGAAGGGGGTGATTATGCCCCCGAGTCAAACCCGCACGGGGGAAGGGTCAGCTGCATGTGAGAAGAGGCAATCTGTGTAGAGACAATGATCCCGGGGCCCGGTTCGCCTTGCCGTACCTTATCGTACCTTACCGTACCTTCGCTGCTCCCTGTTGCCGTAGGCGCAAGTCCTAGGGCGAGTGATGACGGCATTGACGGTACGGCAAGTGATGACGGTGAGCTGCAGCTGCTGTTGGAAGATGACGAGCAGGAGGGCGAGGATGAGGGGGGCTCGGACACGGACGGAGGCGACGACGAGGATGTCGGAGTGGAGGGGCCCGGCGCCGCCAACACCACCATTAACACGAGCAGCAGCGTCAGCAGCAAGCGAGCCCTACGGCTGTCGCCTGCTCGGAAGCCTGGAGGGGCCGGTGGGGGCTACAGCGGGGACGGAGCAGTAGGAGTGGCAATAGGCGGGGGGGCGGCGGTGTGCGAAGCGACGCCGCCGCCGCTACCGCAGTTGCCAGAGGAATGCTGGATGGCGATGTTGCAGCAGCTGGGTGTACGGGACGTGTGTATGGTGGGGCGGACCTGCAGGTGGGTGGGTGGTGCTTTTTCAAGGGGGGTGGCTTGCGGCTGGGGGGTGGGAATCGGTGAGAGATGGGGTTTTGAGCGGGGGGGGGGAGCTTCAGGTGGTTGTGGAAATGTGGGTTCACAACACGCACACACACACACACGCACACACACACACAGACGTGCTCCCTGCTTTACATATCGCGGCTCAGTTCACTCCAACTTCAAACATGCTCACTGCCACCACCTGCCCGCCGCCACTCCGACCTCCAGGTGGCTGAGGCAGCTCGCCGGGGACCCGGGGGTGTGGCGAGCCCAGTACTGCTCGCTGTGGGGCTCCCCCCCCGAGCACGGTCTCACCGCGGGGGTGGTGCGCCGCATGTGCCGGCGCTCCCAGCTGCGTGCCGCCCGGTGGCTTGAGGCCCGTGTGGTCACCAGCACCCTGGGCTTCCCGAGCACCACCTGCCTGCAGGTGAGCGCCGGGAGGGGGCCAGGTGGGGGGGGGGCATGAAGAACTGGGGGATGAAGGCGGTGCGGTGAAAGAGCCCTCCCCTTAGGTGAAAGCCGAAAAGCTTAATGAACCCAAAGGAGGAGGGACGGGAAGCGCCGGGTTGAGGAGGGGATCTGGGGCGGGACGGGGTGGGGGGTTGCGGGGTGGGGCCGGAGGCTGGGTTGGAGGCGGGGAGAGGAGGGGGGAAAGTGGTGTTCGGCGCCGTCGTCGTCGTCTCTTTCACCCTCCTGGGCTGTCCCCCGCTTTGCTTCCCAGGGCTGTCCAAGCACATCGCGTTCTTTCATACTCCTCCAGCCCGTTCTTTGATACTCCTCTCTACTTCTCTCTCTCCCTCTCCCCCCTCTCTCACACACCTACATGCATACATTCATACATACATACACTCATGCATACATGCATATCTTCATGGATACATTCACATATACATACATTGGCAGGTGGTTGGCAGAGGTTAAGGCCTCACTTGGAAGTTCCAGGTTCAAATCCGCCTGCCAGCCTCTCGTTGTGGGAGGGGTGTTGAATTGGGAGGTGGTCCCCATCTTATGGATGGTGTAGGACGTGATTATACCAACTTGCGAGCTGACCAGGAACTAAGTTAAGGCGCCGTTGATACGCTAGATTTGGTTGGATGCTGGTGGTGAGTTGCTGAACCCAACGAATACATTCTGAAGTCGGATGGGGTGAATGGATTAGGGTGCCCCTCTCGCAGGGGAGAGCAGGGAACTGCCTCCAAGGGAAAGGGGGCCGCTGGTGAAGCTATACCACCCTGTAACAACATCATACATACATACATACATACATACATACATACATACATACATACATACATACATACATACATACATACATACATACATACAAAACTCCCTTTGGTCGCGCTTTGCCTTCAATTACTCATCATCTCGCACGCTTCTCTCTTCACTGGCTTTTAGTCGTTTTGCCCCGGTGTGCTGCTTCTGATTGTGTGTCGTTTGCTGATTGCGGATTTCTTTGCTCTCCCTCGCGATGCCGTTCGCAGATGGATGACAGCAAGGTGGTCTCGGGCGACGGCAACGCCGTTCGCCTCTGGGAGCACGCGACGGGGCGCCGCATCGCGACGTTGCAGGGCCACCCTGGTCGCGTCAGCTGCGTCGCCTTCGACGACTCGACGCTCGTCAGCGGCTGCGTGGGATCTGTCGTCAAGCTCTGGTCCATGGATGACCTCCGTTGCAGGTACGTTGGTACATATATTACATACATAAATTCAAACATACAGTCCTACATTCATACAATATGGGTCCAGATACAGCAGATATGTTAACGCGGTGCAGGTTCGATTCCATCAAAGCGCGGGATATATTTCCCTCTTGACCGTCAGCGGGTGGATGCACCCCCATGTGGATGGGCGGTATTGGACCACCCGGTTATAGCGAGGGATCTGCTGTGAGCCGACCTCCCTGAGAGTGGAGTGGAGTGGACACCGCCGTTGATCTGGCGGAATGGATTTGCCGTTCGACAAATCGGCCCTCCTCTGCCCCGCAGACGTACTCTCCGCGGCCACGAAGGCGCCGTGCGGAGCTGCTGCTTGCTGCCCACTGGCATCCCGGTCAGCGGTGCGGAGGATGGCCTGGTGCGGTTGTGGGATGTGGCCAGTGGGAGCGCCATCGTGTCGCTGGAGGCGGGGGCGCCAGTCATGGCGGTGCAGGCGCACGGGCAGTCAGGTGCGGGTCAACCCAGGCATTTCAGCGCATCACATCAGGCCCTTTTTCTGACGTGCGAGAACAACATCATGCGATCAAGGCGTGTGCCGCAAAATCGGGGGGGGGGAAACCGCTATCCGTGCGATCATATACACGCACGGCGTGAAGGAAGATGAATATGAGGCGTTAAGGCACGTGATGCTGTAAGGAAACAACCCACCTCCTGCATAGCCCCTGCATGCTTTTGCATATTGTATCTCTCCCTGCATATTACTGCGTGACGTGAATCTCCCCTCCTCCTCCTCTTCCTCGTCTCCTCCTCTTCCTCGTCTCCTCCTCCCCTTCTCAGGTCATTTGGTGTCGGCCGCGGGTTGGGGCATCCAAATTTGGGATGTTTCCACAGCCACGTTGCTTCAAACCCTGGGTGCAGCCAACGACGAGGACACCACATTCATTGCGGACGCGGGGGCGGTGGCGGCGGGCGGCGGAGCCATTGGAATCCCCGCCGGACATCATCCGTACACTTGCGTGTCGTACATGGGCGACCTGCTGGCGGCGGGACGGCAGGGCGAGGTGGTGCTGCTAGACCCACGGGTCGGCGGCACCGTCGGACGGCTGACCTGCGAGACGCGAAGCGGCGGCGCCGGCACCGTCGGCGCATCCCCCAGTAGTGGCATAGGGGCCATCGCCGCGGCAGCTGGCGGCGGCGGCGGCGGCAACGGCTACGGCGGGAAAGGCGCGCCGTGCGTGGGGGCACAATTGGACGAGTGGAAGCTGGTGTGCGGCTTCAATGACGGGCGTCACTTGCTGCATGTGTACGACATTCGGTCGATACCGAAAGTCGGGTGCGGCGGCGGCGGCGGTGCCAGACGGGACTGGCACCAGCCGCTAATGACACTGAAGGCGCCGAACCGCATCAACACGTTTCAGGTGCGTGGGCTGGGGCGGTGCGGGGTGGGCTGGGGCGGGGTGGGGTGGGGCGGGGTGGTGCTGACGAGGACGGGCGAAGGGCCAAGTGCCTAAAGCCACGGGGTCCTTCTTCCCCGCACAAACCAGTACGGCAGTCACGGTCGTCAGTACGGCATCTTTATCCTGCTTATTCATTCTGATGCGCTTGTCTTTCCTTCTGGCCGACCGGTGCAGTTCCACGAGCAAGCGTTACTCATGGGTCTGGAGGGATCAGAGTGCAGCATGTGGCGCTTCGAGAACCCGACCCAGGCCATGAGCAGCAGCGGCAGCAGTAAGGCAAGCGCAGCTCGCTTCCCAGGTCAGACGTCACCGCTGCCCGGGGTTACGAGCGCCGGCTGGGTCCGCACCGGCAGTAGCGGTCCTGGCGCCGGCAGCAATGCCAGCAGCGGCGGTGGCGGCGGCGGTTTCGGTCCAGGTGGCGGCGGCGGCAGCGGAGGCATTGGTGGCATGTTGGCGCCCGAGGGCGGCTTCCCCGAGGGCGGAGGAGGCGGTCGCAAGGTGTGAGCTAATGGAGCCGGGCGCAGTGAAGAGAGGGAGGGAGAGCTTTACGGGGGGAAGGGAGGGAGGGCGGGGGGGAGGGAGGTAGAGCTTTAGGGGGGGGAAAAGGGGGGGGGGAAAAGGGGGGGGGAAAAGGGGGGGGAAAGGGGGGGGTTGTCCCGGGGAGGTTACGTGGCAGTCTGTGGGAGCAGAACGACAGAACGCGGGACGGGTGATGGAACTGATGATGTGGTTGATGTGTTTTCTTCCCCATCCTGTGGCGGCATCATCAGCACCACCGGCATCAGCATCAGCATCAGCATCCTGTCCATTGCTACTGTGACTCTCACATCCACGCGCTGGCTCCCTTGCCACCCTCATGAAGCGCTTGGGCTGCTGCCGTTACTGATCAGCCCTGTCAAGCCGTGTTGCGCCGCTGCAGTGTGTTGATACCACGTCGCCTCCTCCGCACGTCCCGCAGGAGAAAAAGAAGCCAGCCAAAGTGGCCAAGAAGCAAACACGCTACCCCAAGCGCAATACCAAGTGATTGATGACGATAATGATTATGATGATAATGATATTGATGAAATTGATGGTGGTGGTGGTGATGATGGGGATAGTGACAGAAGTTATTCAGAGCTCGGGGGCCAGAGTCAGCAGAACAGCACATGTGGGCTTTCTGTTTAAGGGCGGGCAAGGACCTTGGTGCGAAGACGTTCCAATCAGGGGCGCGCTGCTTCTACAGCTTCTCGCTCTCTCTGCCGCGCTCTCTGCATCTGTCCCCCTTCCCCCTGTCCTTGCCTGTCTGGGAACAGGGTTGAAAGAGAGAGGGAGGGCGGGGGAGGGGGAGGGGGGGTAGCGAAGTACCGTAGGGCAGCAGCACATACACCCCCTTCGGTGTGAGCGAGAGGCGCGCCCATCACTTACACCGGGCCAGCTCATGCGCTTTGCCGCATAATAATGACGGACAGGCTTCGGGAGCGATTCTATGGGGCTATGGGTGCACATGTTGTCACAGGTCTTCATCTCCTCCCGACACGTCAGGAGGGCGGTCGGGCCTCCTTGGCCGCGGCCAAGTGAGCTGTGCAGCCTACCCGGCCTCGGCCTTGGGGGCCCCTCGGCAGGTGACCCACCAGGTGCAAAGTTATAGCCCTTCTTGCCGTCGCATTGCGGATGCGGTGTGCTGTTTTTGAGACGTCCTTTGGGACACCTCGCGGGCATCTGTCTGGTCATACACACACAGCGGTTATAAACAGGTTGGTAAAAGCATTTCTTTTGCTGGACGGACCGGGCGCACGGCTTTGGCAAGGCCGGTTTATGCGGGAGCTGGGGGAGCATGCGGGGACTGAACGGCCACGCGAAGGTGGTGGTGGTCAGGGGGGGGGCCCATGGGGTGGCTGGGACCCGGAGGGTGCCGTGTCGGAGTGGGGCTTGCCGTGGGGCTGCTGGGTGGTGGGGCTGCTGGGTGGTGATATAGGATGGTGGGGGGCGGGCTTGTGTTGGTGGATGGAGGAGGGTGGGAGTGCACGGATCTGCCTCTGATCGACAATTGAGCTTCCACTGAGGAGTGTGGTGGCGGTGGTATTAGTGCTTCTACTGTACAAAGGTTTACCTGACGCACTTTTGTACGGTGTTGCGTTTTGTCACTGTACTACATACGGCGTTTGTTGCATGCTGCTTTGATTTATTGGCCGGTCGATCGTCATAAGATCCGGCACATTTGCGTTTTCTGCTGTGGAAAGATCTTCACGGCTGCACATTTTGTTTGACAGTGATTTGGGACAGGAAGGACTGGGGAGGGAGAGGAGAGGACTGCGAAACGACACTTCCTACGATGGGACATATCCGGGAACAACGAGAGGAGCTGCGCAGCAGTTGCCAGTGCGAAGCTAAATGACGGATCAAGGACGACAAGCTATCTGGAGAGAGAAGAGAGAGAATGAATGAATGAGAAGCAAGGTGTTTGGTGTTGAAAATGTGCATTGGGAAGAGGAGGAGGGGGAGGAGGAGGTTACGTCGCCCCGACAACCTTCTTCTCCTCCGCTGTCCTGTAATGCCAACCTGCTATTGCCACTACTAGTAGCCAGCTGCCCTTCAGCTTGGGCGCTACGTGATCTGCCCCGTCGGTTGCTCCCTGCCGCTACGTGATTTGGGTTACCAGCTGGGAGCTGTGGCCAGCCACGCATCCATAGAGCGCTGCTGCATAGCATATGTGTGCGCATGTGAATTGTACAATTAAATCCGCAAAAAGATATCGTGGAGCTTTTTTCGCACGTTCAACGGCAGAAAGGCTGGGGAACGGTAACTGATGGGCTCTGGCCCACCCTGCAGAACAAGTTTAAAAGGTCATACATACAGCGTACTGACTAGTTTGATTATGAACAAGGCAGCTTACCATTGTGGAGCGCAAATACAGAACTGGCAGGCTAGGGCTCCAGCACGATCTGGATACGGCACTGTCAGTGCTTGAATGCTAATGCTCGTCACTCTGTACCGGACTAGCATGAAGTGGGGCCCTGCGTCCAGCCTTACAGCCAATCCCAATGTTTAACCAGGCCACACCACATCTCAGCCACGCACCCTTGCGGACCAGTCAGACGGTCCAAACCTCTGGTCGTGTCCCCTGGTGGTTCTCTTGGCCGCCCAGCTCCCCACTATCCCCTCTGTCGTAGTTCCTTTCCAAGTCGGAATCCCTTGCCTCTCCACCGCCTGGATGGTACCGCCCAGTTGTGCTCATCGGTCGCTCTCCTCTCTGGGCCCGACACCGGTCTACCCTCTATATAACAGAATGTACACACACCACTTCGACTTCCACTGCATAACGTGGGGCCTTCGGCTTCCTCTCTGAGCTGCCTGGGACCTGAGGTCCTGGCCTGGAGAGGGCAGAGGTGTGTGGCAGGCGCCTCCGCGCCTTAGTGGGGGTTAGGGTTGCCACCATATCCCCCTCCACCAGCGCTCGGCCAGACAGGGGTGTCCAGGACGCAGTCCGCTATCTTTTCCTCCGCAATCGTATGCACCACTCGCCCCACCTGGTCGAACAGGGGGGGTTAAATGTACAAAATGCCGGTGGCGACCTCACTCACCCCAGTCTTGGGGTGAAGGCATCTGCCGCCAGTATGTGGTAGTACGCTCTAATGGTGGGCAAAAAAACGTCCTGGTATCTTCGTGGAGGACTCATCCGCAAAGGCGTCTACTGTGGGCCTGCGGCGGCCCTCCAGGCACGGTTCCGCCCTCAGGCTTGCGAACACCGCGTCGTCCAGGCACCACTGCGAGCCGTCCTCATGGAGCGGCGCTGTAGCCACTGCCGGGCTCATGGCCCTGATCCGCCCGGCCACCTGCGCAGCTTCCCGGGCTGTGATCGATTCTGGACCAGCGGCCACCAGTTGCTCGACCGTTTCTGCCAGCTGCCGTACCTTGTCCTCCGGTACTTCGAATGCCTCGCGCTGTGTGTCGACAATGAAAAGCGCAGAAGCTGAAGACCCGCTGAGGTGGTTGTAACTGGCATGTTCTCGAGGATGGTGTGCGGCAGTCTGCCGGTCAGGTAAGTTTCTGGGTCCACCCCCGGGCCAGTGGCTTGGCTGATCATTTGAAGTACCATGCTGTGTTGTGTGTGTGTGTGTGTGTATGTGTGCGCGTGTGTGTGTGTGTGTGTGTGTGTGTGTGTGTGTGTTACATGGTCGTGGGGTGCGTTCCCCGTACCTGCAAACCGCCCAAACACGAGCCGAGGGCTCAAGGGCTGCCAGATCGCCTATAAGCACCATCCTACCTCGCACTTCAGACAAAGCAAGTGATAAAGGATACCAACGACCAAAGGGAACGGCAGAGTTGTGGTGGGACCATATGTATGGCCCAGCATCCTTGCCAGACGTTCAGGTTCCCACTCCATAGCGTCCTTCATATGCTCGAAGCGTGGGTATTCCATATCAGATCTGATTTGGTCGTACACCGGGCAGTCCAGAAAATGTGCTTCTCATCCTTGATATGGCTATCGGCGCCGCAGCAGGGGCATACGCGCTCCTCCCTAGGTATATAACGCCATCCCTAACGTGCTCTGTTAGCCGCCAATGCCCAACAGCAACGCCGAAACTGCATAAGCTTGCGATTCGCTGAACGCGGGATAAACGTTGTGATATGGTATGCGGGAGCGCCTCCTTCCTGCCCGCTTGCTCGGCCGCTATACCCATCCAATGCTTATACTTCGCCATGTGAATTCCTGTTTGACTGCCGTCTGACGGGGTACACATCTGGCTGGACATCTAGACGCGCATGCTTCCAACCACTCACCAATCGGTCATTGAACTCCAATACCATACCTTCTGGCAATGGCCCGCACTATGCGGCGCTTCTTGCGGCGCTGTGGGGAAATGGAGGCCCCCATGCCGGGTGGCCCCACCCAGTTTTAAGCGCACACCTTCCTCTAAGATTGCCAGCACCAGGCGTTGGTTGCGGCTTAGTGTCCGCGCCCCGTTGTGGAGTTCGAAATAACGGCGCCACAACTGGCTGCATGCCCGCAGGAATCCTGGCTGGAAGTCGGCTGGGTTCTGAGCTGCACTTCGCACTTGCTGTGTTCGAACAACTCTTCTGGTGTTTGCGTCAGCGGTGTCAGCGGTGTGCCAGGTAACCCAGTCTGTGCAGCCGAGTGGATTCCTTGCCATGCTTGGTTCAGCTGTTCCGCTGCGTGAGTTTTTAAGTCCACCAAAGGCGATGTGGGCAAATTAATTGACCGCGCACTGCCTACCCCTCTCCATTGCCGGGCCCTGCCTGTCTCTTCGCGGCCATCGCAGTCACCAAGCGCCCCACCGTCCACTTGAGGTCTTCATGCTCAAACTTGCAGTTCGGGGGTCCGCCGTACGGGCACGGTTTCCCTAGGAATGCCACATTGCAGCAGATGGCTGGTCGGACGGCCTTGGCTTCACGGAACATGGTGTCGCTGTCCGGGCACAGCTCTGCCGGGAGGTTACGCCTCTGCAGCTCCTCTTTCACCGCATCTAGGGCCGTCTACCATGCCGCGGGCCCCTGCTTGCCTCGCCCTGCTGGGGCGCCGACTTGACGGCCTCCGCCATGCCGGCCCTCCCCGCCACCATACCCGCTGCCAAACCTGCCTCTAGCCCCCGCGGCCTGCTCTCCACCCGCCGCCCCACCCCGGGAGCTTCCCGAGATGCGTGCACCCACACTTTCGCCTACACGCAAGCCGTTCTCGTATTTTGCCGCTGCAAGTACGGTGCGCAGGAGCTTGACCACTTCTCCTAGGCACTCCTGTAGGCGCCACAAGCAGCCCAGTTGTGGGCCGAAGCCTTTCGCCCACATTTCCTCAGTCATGCTTGGACTGCATACGGCACTTCGGTTGAGCTCAGATTCTGCGGCATAGAGCCACGCATGCTGCAGGGTGCCCGGGGGCATGTGATGTGGGGCCAGCAGCTCCAGCGCACAGTCGACCAGCTCCAAGCCGCCCAGCAGGGTGGCGAGCTTATGGCTGACTGTGTCGATGTCCGCGTCGTAGCTCGCGGAGTAGGCGGCTAGCGGCTTCATCAGCTCCCGCACCTTGCCCTCTAGGCGGTCGGCCACCCGCTCAGCATAAGTCAGCCCCAGTGGGCCCGCTAGCGTCGTCCGGAGGTCGTGAATCAAGGGCTCTGCTGCACCCCAGATGACGGCCTCCACTGCGCTCGCAATTTCTGTCCATGGGGCGGCGGCGCCTAGGGACATCAGCACGGCCCCCACAATCGCATCCGCCAGGTAATGCGTGTGGGTCGTGCCGTCTGTGTCGGGTCGCGCCTGAAGCAGCTGCTCCCGGTGTCTCTGGAGCATTGCCGCCGCTGCCTGGGCCGCCAGGCGGCCCGGGTTGCCCCCCAGTCCCGTAGCCGGCGGCTGTAGATGTCGGAGCTCCGGCATCCTCTCTATTCTTCGCGAGCTTCGACCGCAGGCATCAATCTCCACCGGGCCGAAGAGCACGTTCCCTAACAGCAGTTTGCCCCCCGGCAAGGGCAGTCCCGCTGGCACTGCCCCTTGGCTCGGGTAGCCCTGAGATAGCGCTGGGATAGCTGTAGCATGTGGATCGCCCATCGGGGCGAGTTGTAAGCCATAACTGTCGAGACCGAGGGCCCCAGCAGCCACCACCGCGTGTTGGGTGCTGTTCTCCAGAGGTCCTACGATTGCCGGTCCCAACTGGTGCCCCGAGCCTGAAGGAGGTGGGGCAGCCAGGTTGGCGTGAGGCCATCCGGCGGCCGCTGCAGTGGGGTGGCCGCCCCTCTCTGCCGCTCCAACACCTGGATCCTCGTCCGCTGGTGGCCCCGTGGGCCTGGCTGCCTGGCGCCCTCCATGTGGGGTGAACCCCCGGACCGCCCGGGGCTCGAACCCCTGCCAACCGCCTACCGCTATGCTCCCGCGGCCCACAGTGTGAGGGTCGTCATCCACGTCCAGGATGCCCGCGGCGTGTGCCGTTAGTAACCCCGCTAGCCCGTGCTGGGAGAGGATCTGGTAGCACAACTCTAGTTGCGATAAACCCTGGGCTGGCCGCCTCGATGCGCCTGCGGCCCAGGGCTGGGGGCCTGTGGTCCTTCCATCCTCGTCTGTGGGCGCCATGGCCGGTTCTCCCGAGGTTGTCCAGGTTGCCCGGCCGAATAAGCCTCGTCGGGCCAGGTTCCGGTCCGCCGGGTATGCTGCCATCTCCCCCAACCCAGTGAGAGGTACCACCGCTGCGCTTTCTCCCGTGGCTTGCGCCCGCCCTGGCGTGTCCAGGCGCTGTCGCCTGGTGGCTGGCGACCGTACCGCCGGCGAGCCGGGTAGCTGTCGTGACGGCACCCGGAGGGGAGTGCCTCCTCCCAGGCCGCGGGGTCCCGCCTGGTGGGAATCCTCGGTGACAGACGCTTGGCGGCCCGAGTATTGCTGGGCCCCCTCTTGATCCGTGTGATCGGTTGCGGGACCCTCTCCTGCCTCAGCCGCGTTTCCCTCCAATTTAACAAATGCGTGGCCCCCAATCACGTGTCTTCCAGTCCTCCGCTCCGGTGATGGCCTTGGCAGGGCCCCTTCCCGCGGTTGTGCCCAGCTGCCCACTGTCCCCTCGCGTTGTGCCGCCAGGTCTCGTGCCGGTTTCGCCTTTGGGTGCACCTCCCTTTGGATGGGCCTCAGATGGTCACCGTTGGCCCGTGGGCGGAGTCGTCCGCCATAGGTGTTCATTTCCTGAAGCAAAACCGGGGGGGTGTGCCCGCCAAGATTCGATCCTGCTTGCGTCGCCAGGTGTCGCGTTAGTTAATAAAATAAGTCAGCTATGAGCCGTCTATGCTGGCGCTGGCTTGCCCGGGCGCGTGTACCCAGCCTCGTTCGCTCCGCATGCGTACAAGGGATTAGTCTTCCCGTCCCGTTACTAGGGAATGCTAGCTCGAGTCCGTCAGGCATCGCGTGCCGCATCGCTCGCTAGGAGGATCGGCCTCCGAATCGCGGCATGCTAGCCTGAGTCCGTCGGACGTCGCGCGCCACCCCGCACGCTGGGGGATCGCTTCACCACGTGCGGAGGGTACTCTATTCCTAATCGCCCGTTTCGCATCGCGTCGCAGGGCCACTGGCCCAATAAGCGCCTATATTACTCTGCCGCGTTCTTTTCTTCGCCGGACGCGCTCTCGGGCAACCCACCGGGCCGTCTGCGGGGTTTGTCCCTTCAGCGTCTTCTTCCATCATGTGCTTCGCTGCCGGCATCTTCGAGCAAACCGAATGCCAAGGGTCAGGAAGGTTAGATGGAAGTGACCCGAATCCGACTCCGATAGGCACCAGTGTCGCTGGTTCGTTAGGAATGATTTTGATGTTGATTGAATGCATTATTCGTTCTTGTGGGTTTGGCTGATCTGGGCGGAGGTTGCCAGTCAACATGGCCCGCCTGCTTGACTTTCTCCTTCGGCCGGTGCTCAAGCTGAAACTAATTGAACGGATTGTATCTGAGGCTGATTGATCCGACACCAGAAAAATTACGGTAAATCCTACTGGGTCAAGCCCTCTCCCAGTCGGTTAACCCCACAGACACCACTCTTATGGCCATCAGGGGTCGGCAAACGCCGCTGGTACAGCGGGTCCTTCCGTTGTACCCGTTGCAGAAATTCAACTCTATCCTTCATCGCTGGTACGGCAGCCGCATGGAAGGGTGCAGAAATTCCCCCCAAAAGGCAGGTTTGCGCAGTTTTGAAGCTATGAACTTCATCATTAGGGTACCAAACCTTCCATTTTACAAGGAGGTAAATGCTAGCTTTGATTGACGACCTTTCCTCGGCTTTTACCAAAAAAATTTCCATACAGTTATTCGACCCTGGCACCAGTACCCGTGACAGTTATTCAGGGTTTGCGGACCTCTGATGGCCATTCGCCGCGGAAAGTTAACAAAAGTCAAGGAAATAAGCCAGCTCCTTACGTAATTCTCCATATCTAGCTAATCTTCGTTGCCTTTCCTCCCCGACGAATCGGTGTAGTTTGGCTGGCTCCTGGTTGTCTCTACCCGCTACAATAGAGAAGAGATGTTAAATGTGAATGAGCGAGAGATAATGCATTGGCGCACTCGTTCGCTATGTTGCAGGTTCTTCGCTGTAGTACCGCCGTTGCTGCGAGCATTGAAGTGCTTAACTCTGCATCACACCTTCTTTAAGACACACGATAATGAGTTAATGTTGCACAGTAATATGTCATAACGTAAGATGGCGGCTTCCTGCCTAAAATCCGAGTTCCGACATCCGAGACGACCTCTTAAACCGTTAGAGCAGTTATCTTACCAACGGAGAAGGCGCCGTATAGATGCTTGTCGATGCCACCTAAATTTTGGGAAAATATAAAAGCACATTTGCAACGAAACTAAAAATTGATTACTGCTGTCCGGTTACGCAGTTTCCGCAACGTATGCATCACCAAATAGAATCCTGAATGTCGAAAGCTCGTGACGTTTTCCGGAGCAATGAATCCTGGGAGCGATGGAATACGCACCAAACTACTATGGTGGAACAAGAGGTCTTTGGCACCGTGTTACGGTTTGTCCAGGACCCATCTTCGGAGCACTTGGGCACCACGGTTTGGGATGCCAGTGTCGTCTTAGCCAAGTGGTTTGAAAAGGTAATACACCAGTCACAATTATTGGGGGAACCAAGCTCAGACACCGAGCAAACCATCCCCATGCCTCTACGGCGGCGCTGACCTTCCCGCCTATCACACTTGTTCAGAACATCCGTAAAGGCGATTTCTCCAGATCCAAGGTCCGCGGCAAGCGGGCTATTGAGCTGGGGGCGGGCATGGGCTTGGCTGGTAAGGGGCCACACTCTCCATTTCACCGGCTGCCTGTCGTACTATACTGCTGTCATGCACCTTCCCAAGCTCTACAATCCTTCCACCCGCCTCTGCAATCCCCACATGCCATGTCACGTCCCCGCTGCAAACTGGGCACACGGCTCCACCAACTACATGTCCTAAAGATGCGCATGGAACAGGGTCCCGCCAACACCTCAAGCCGCCTTCGCAACGGGGTCAACATGCTGAGTCCAGTCACGCAAGCCATCTTCCTTGCTGCCTTGCACCCGTTCACTCAGCTCTTCCATCCATCTATCCACACATCTTCTAACAAAGTCTTAACAAAGTCTTAATCGTCGCGTCCGTAGCGGCCATACCGCCCGGCACCAGCTGCTCGCACCAGGCTGCTTGCCATGCTGCTCCCTGCAGGCATGGCCTTTGCGATGGTGGGTGCAGACGTCGTACTGACGGACACCGCCGACGTGTTGGGACTGTTGAGGATCAACTACGAGAACAATCTATCTCCCGCAGCAGTGCGTCTAGCCCGAGGTGGGCGGGACGCTGCATGGGAGGGTGTAGTGTGTCGTTTAGGGCCACCTAAAGACATGTACACGTGTACATATACGGCGGAAAGGAACGGGCAGACAGCACAATGCAGATTTCGAGACCGGTGTTTGCCGTGGAGGCGAAGGCGCGCCAGGGGTTGGTAGCCAGGCGGCTAATGCTTTTTAAGGGAGAAACGCGATTACAGCAGCGGTTTGCAAGGTCCTAAGGACCCCAAACCATTCATTACAGCCTTAATGCAAAAGGGGGAGATAATAAATCCAATTCAAGGCACACAGGCAGCTGTGTAAGCATGCATGCTCAGTGATGCATCGAGTATGCATAGGCAGCTCATTGCTGTATCCCCACTTCCTTACAGTCCCGTATATATATGTATGTATGTTTGTATATCTAGGTATGTATATGTACGTACGTATGTATGTATGTATGTATATCCTTACACGCGCGGGCTTACATACTTATACGTTTCGCTCTGTGTGTGTGCACATGACGTTGCGTGCGGTTCTGTGTCCCCGTGTGCGATGATGCGCACGGACCGCAGCGCACCAGCACGGCACCTGGGCGGACAGTGCGGGCAGCTTGGTGGTGGCGGAGCTGGACTGGACGAAGCCCGAGCAGGTAGGGGGTCCGTCTATCCAATCATGTGGGTGGTTGGGTCGGGTGGGTCGGGTAGGAGAGCGGAATGACATCTGTCACGACCGGAGGTACAGAGCCAGAAGGAGGCTCGAAGAAGCCTAAAAAAACGAAACCCTGAAAAGACTCGAACCGGGGTAAGCACGAGCGGTCCGTAAGGGGATTGATGGGGTTTCGGGGTTATGGTAGGAGGCGGAGACGCACGCTGAAAAAGGGGAAGCCGGGTGAAGCCGGGGGGGCTGGAAACTACCACCGCGCGATTCCCCCGGGGTTCAAACATACGAACAACGCCCCCCTCGCAGGTGCACGCCCCACCCCTCAAGCCCCCCTACGACTTCGTGTTGGCTGCGGACTGCATATATCATGAAACCCTCACAGACCACTTCCACAGGACCGTCATGGACATCACCAACGACAAATCCACCGGTAAGCCTTCCACCCCCGGGAAGTACCGGGTGCTCTGCTCCTGTGTGTTTTAAGGTACCACGCCTTGGTGCCGGGACATGACCACAAGCTCAGGGTTGTCGTGGTACGGTATTGCCGTACCAAGCCACCAGTCACGGGTGAATGAATGTGGGATTGCCAATACCTGACACCTGCATGCGCCCCGGGTGTCCAGTAGCCCCCTGCAATGGTTTACCTTACAATGCCCGCATTTTCGCTAACCGTATGTGTGTGTGGGCGGGTTTCTATTTTTTTCTACCCCGTTCCCACCTCTACCCCAACACTCTCCCGGCCGGGCCATGTTGCCATGTTGCCCTCTGCCCCCGCTGTTTTCATGTCCAACTGGTAAATTGCTCTTTCCCCCTTTCCCCCCTTCCCGGTGGTGGTTCGTGTGGTTCGTCTTTTCCCCCTTCCCGCCGCCCGTTGGGCAGTTGTTGTTTGCAACGAGCTGCGTTCCCATTCCGTCCAAGGGAGGTTCATGGAGCTCTTCAGGGCCACGCACACCATCAAGTCCGTGCCGCACTCCAAGATGGACGACACCTACCAGCACCCTAACATCTTCATCTACATCATGAAGAAGAAGAAGAAGGACAAACCAGCGTCGGGCCCCAGGGAAGCCCCGGCGGCGGCTGGAGCTGTTCCTCTTGCTGCTGCAGTGCCGGAGGGGAAGCAGGCGCAGGAGGAGGACGAGGAGGAGGGGGAAGAGGAGGGGGAGGAGGGCGCCGGGGGTAGTGGAAGGGACGTGCAATCCAGTGCAGGGGCCGACCAGCAGCAAGAGCAGCAAGAGCAGGTCAATGGGGAACAGCAAGACAAGGAGAAGCAGGAGCAGCAGTGCTGGCATTCGGCTATTAATGACGGTGTTAACGACGGTGGTGGTGGCGGAGTGGCCGTGATATCTGGACACGTGGTGACGGGGTCAGAGCTATTGCCTCCGACGCAACCTTGCACAGCGGCCGCTGCGGCAGTGGCAGATCCGGGGCCCGGGCCCGGGCCCGGGCCGGGTTGACACCTGGGGGCCCCTTGTGGGACCAGGCGACCGTTGCGAGAAGGAGGAGAAAGGACGCACGGGATAGAGGCGCAGATGGTCGGTCTTGTGTGTAGGTTTCCTAGCTAGCCACGTCACTGCCGGACATGTCGTCTCTGGAGGTGGGGTCCTTATCCTGGAATGGGGGAGTGGCTAGCTGGCTGCTTCGAGTGGCTTGGGTTTTGATGGGTGCGCTGCGTAGGGTTCGTGGAGGGCATCCCCATCCCCGCCGCACACGCCTGCCTGCTGTCCGGATAGGCTCCACTGTGTGGTTCAGCATGTCAGCAATGGAAATGGAAATGCAGGGCGACGGAGGTGTTAGCCGCTGCGCGACTGGGTTCCTTGCAGGCTTACCACTACTGCTGGAGGAGGACCCCGAGTGACCGACCGTTATCTCTGCGGTCGCCAGTTGAAACGGCAATGGTAATGCGCCGTTCGTTCCAATCCACACGGTGACATTGACAGGATGTACCATTTATTGCTCATGTCCTTATCTCTATTTATAAATCGAAGTGTTTGGGATGTCGAGCGGCGCGACCGGCCGGCTGGGTGCACCCGGCAACTCTTATGCACAGCTTAAACTCATGAAGGAGTCAGTCCGTTGAAACATAACGTATCTGTACGCCCGTGATCCCAGCTGTTGTGCAGTGTTTTTGAAAACAAAGCCGGGAGGTACGGAGGTCATAGTCATGGTTATATTCTCATAGTAAGGGAACCCCTGGGGGCATTCCCTGTGGGAAAGTTTTTTCATGGCCCTAACAGATGGACAGCTGTGATCTCCTGTGCCAACCAAAATGGGAGCTTGAGGAGGAAAGACCAGAATGTTTTGTGATGGGATTCAACATCTCACAGCTCAGCGAAGCGTCTTGAAACCAACTGAAAACTCTCCAGGGAGCGAATGAGCCGATTTGCATGTACGGCACGGCGTGCGTGTTGGGCAGCCCCGACCGCAGCAAACATTTTGCTGTTCGGACTAATGCTGCGGTTGATGGGATGTGCAGGTGAAGCAATAGGGTTCCTTGATCGGTGCTGGGGATGCTTGGGAAAAGCTTGGGAAAAGCGTGTGCCTGAGGTCTCATAGTGCAGAAGCCCCTAACCGGCAGAGTCATAGGATGGCCAAGTATTCAGCAAACCTTGACTACTTTCCTTTAAATGCAATTGGCCAGGACGGGACTAACGGAACCACAAGGCGGTGTCGTACATGTACATCATTTGAATCAATAGCGCCATCCTTAGTTGTTGTGCACGGGAAAAGGTCTAGTAGCTCGATGCTGGTCTACTGTATCTGTAGGCATTTCATAAATGCTCGAACTCCTCCTCTTCTCAAGTAGGGTCTGGACAGTGCGGATCGCGCTGCGTTAAATGCATATTTAAATTGGCATCACAAGGTGTGGTATTTCTATTCTACTATGTGCTAAAGGTTAGTTCATGCAGTCAGGCCCCAACGACACGGTTGGGAGCCTGTCCTTGACTTGACATGGGAAGTTCGCGAATAAAATAAGTAAGCTGACGGAACCTGCGTAAACATTTTGGCGCATTTTGGCTCACAAATACGTAGCTGCGATACCGGACATTCGTCATGAGCTGTGATACGCCTGACGAGCCAGTGGCCAAACAAAGAGCGCACAAAGTAGGCGCTGATACACAAACTTGGATTTACTTGATGTGATGCTATGCATAATTCCATCATAGCATCAAACACAATGGGAGCTGTCGCTGCGGTCCCCCCCATCTTTGCCGTCTTGTGACCGGCAAGGCTTTTTAGGTTGCACGTTTAAATAATTCACAAAAAAAACTTATGCCCTTTCTATAGTACACTGCTTTCCCGCCAGTGGGTCTCCAGGTATCGAGCCGTCCCGACACTATCGCCTTGCAGCTGCGGAATCACCCAGCCGATGGCCCTCCAGTCCAGAGAGACCAACTTTATGTGCTACTCACAATCCTGACGCAGGGGCGTCTGTACTGTTTCCCTGCGGACTGTCGGAACGGCCATGGCGCTCGCAGCTGGCAACATCAATACCAACGCAGCCGCCTTGGGAAATAGCCTGCACACGCAGCTTGCAGCACCCATTTTTAGCACACGTGCAGCCTTTAAGCTATGGCGCAATTTGCCCTGTCCCCTCCGGCAGCCGCCGGTGGTAACCCCCGGCAGCATGTCCGCCGGCGCCGCGCCCGGGCCTCACGCCCGGACCTCTGAGCTTCACCCCCAATCCTCCCCGTTTCCAAGGCATCATTTCCGCCGCACACCATCAAGGCATGGTCGCGGGAGAGCCTCGCTCAATACCGGCACCCCGGCCCCCCTCATCGCCACACATCCCGCCATCACCACCGGGCCCGCCGCGCGGATGCCACGCGGGTGCCACAACACCCGCCGCCTGGCCGCGCCGTCGGCCGCCAGCGGCGCTACCGGTGGGGCCCCAGGTTGGCCCACTTCGCCGCTGGGGGCACAAGACCCTGGCCCAGCCTCTGCCGCGGGTGCAACCCACTTCAACCCTCGCTACACCCTCCCACTCCAGCAAGCGCAGCAGCACCATCACCACCTTTCCGGCGCCCACCCAGCGCCTCAAGCAAATCCACAACCGCATCCAGCTGGCACGTCCGGGCGAAGCGGCAACTCCTGGGCCACGGCGGTGCCGGGATCGCTAGCTTCTGCTAGCGGCGGCGCTGGCGGCGCTGGCGGCAGCAGCGGCAGCAGTAGCGCCCCCTTGCGGCAGTCGACCCCATCTCAGTCGTCCAGACCCGCAGCCGGCCCCACTGCGGATCAGCAGCAGCAACAACCGCAGCAACGTCGGCAGCCGCCGCCGCTGATGATGGCAGCAGCGGAGAACCGGGGCAAGAGTGCGGGAGCGGAGGGCTCTGCGGCGTCTGCCGCAAGTGCGGCCGTCGCTACAACAGCATCGGCGACGGCAAGACAACCGCACGGCGGCGGTCCGGCCGGGAAACGGCCGCCGCCAGAGCCGTACAAACACCATCAGCAACAGCTGCAACAGCAGCAACAGCTGCCCGTATGTGAGCCCGGGCCCTCCTTGAGTCCGCAGACGGACGGCGGGCTGTGGCAGCAAGGTGCGGGGGAGAGCACGCAGCTGGAGAGGTTGTACATCAAGGATTTTGCGCTGGTTTCGGAGCAAACTGTACGGTTGGGTCCGGGGCTCAACGCAATTACAGGCGAGAGCGGCTCTGGGAAATCCGTACTGGTGAGACGGGAGAGGGGTTTTGTGTGTTTGTGTGCTTGGATGTGCGTGGTGGGGTGAAGGGCTGTTGCGCGAAGGGGGGGGCCCGGGGGCTGGATCGGGACCTGGGAGGTGACAGAGCCTCTTGTTAGCAGGGTGGGGACTCTGTACCGGAGGCTGTGCGAGGGTACCTCTACGTGAGACGTGACCCCTGGGCCCCCGGTGGATGGGTGCTCCTCGAGGGGATGTAAGGATGCTGCAGTGAGCCTGGTGCGGTGAACATGGTACGCATATGTATGTGTATATTTGTATATATGTACGTGTGCCCTGCCTGCCCCCTTGCCCTCGCCTTCCGGGGCTGCCCAGCCCCAACAGCGTCTTTTCTTGGCGTTTGCACCAGTGTGATAGAAATGTGGTTGCTGTTCCTTCCGAAACCTCCTGATTATGACTCTCTGCACCCTGACAACTGCTGTGTGCCTCTGCACGGTGATGGCGGTGGTGGCGGGGCTGTAGGTGGAGGCCTTCTCCCAGGTGCTGGGGGCGCCCGCACCACAGGTGAGTCCCGGTGATCGAATGTCCCATGTGGGTCCGTCCGTCGCTGAGTAGGTCGGTATGTCGATCGGTCGGTCGGTAGGTCGGCCACATCAGCCTGGGGGAGGGGGCTGTACCTTTCTCAACAGCAAGACAGCGGGAACAAACAGGCACCCGTTCCTCCAGTCCTGCGTGCTCCCCCATCCCTTCCCATCCCATTGCACTGCCCCTCATTGCCATGCCACGTGATCTGCTTCTTTGCACCCGCTGGTGTTGTGAGGTCTCCCGCAATGCGAATGCGACAAAATCCGACGACAACAAATTGCAATGAAAATGTGTTGCTGGTGTTCGTCCTGGCGCTCGTTCTGGACCCCATCCCCACGCACCACCGCCTCGCACCGTCCTGTCCCGCAGGAGTGCGTGCGTGCGCCCGCGGAGGTGGCGGTCATAGAGGGCACCTTCGTGGTGGGCGAGCAGCAGCGGGAGGCCGTGATGCAGCTGCTGGCCGCGTGCGGGCTGCCGCTGACGCCGCGGATGCAGAGGGCGGCGGCAGGGGGAGGCGGCGGTGGCGGTGGCGATGACGGTGGTAGCGATGGCAGCGACCGCAGCAGTGAGGTCTCCGGGAGCGGTGCGCTTCGGCTGACTGCGCGGCGTGAGGTGGGGGCGGAGTGGCGGTTGATTTGTGTAGCCACAGAAATGCACAACATGAACTGTTGACATCCCAGGGAGGGTCGGGAGGTGGCAGTGGACAGGGAACGAGGGGATGGAGCACTGGGGCACTGGGGCCGGTTTAAACATGGATGAGCCCCTCCCGCGCTTTGATCCCGCTTACCATCTTATGGCGCGTGATGCGTCCGTCCACGAATTTCAATTAATATGTACGTATATATGTAATTGCATTCATGTCAACACCTCCACATCAGCGATTTTCTCGTTTCCGGAAAACTCGCACGCACGATTTCACCTGGACTCCATCTCACCTCCTCTTTCTCCTTCACCGTCCTGGCCCCCCCCGCCGCTCCGGTCCCCGCCCTCCAACCGGAGGCAGATCCTGGTGGCCTCCCCCTCCGGCGGCCTCCGCAGCCGGGTCTACCTGAACGGCGCCGCCAGCAGCCTCCGGGTGCTGCGGGAGCTGGGCTCCCTGATGGTGGACATGAACGGGCAGCACTCCACCACTAGCCTCAGGGACTCAGCCAAGCAGGTGGGGGTGGGTGGGTGGGGGGGGGGGGGGGCCGCCCGCGGTGAGGGGGTTAAGAGGAACCACTGACGATTGAAGCAGATACCAGAGATAGGAATATACAGATACTGCAGGAATATTTGTAAGGTTGGGGTAAGGTTGGGGGATGGAGCTGGTGTTGTGCGCGAGGGTTTGTGGAAGTGGGGGCAGATGTGAAGGAGGTGGGAGTTCCAGGAGGGAAGAGCAGGACTGTCCCCGTGCTGTACTTTTGGGATGGGTTGGGGGGGGGGCTGGGGAGGTGTATGTATGTATGCATGTATGTCGGGGGGAATATCCGGCAAGTTGTTGTGTGGCCGGAGATCTATAGGAGGTCGAGATTCCTTCATCCACGATGCACGATCTGAAGATCACACACAGGGGTAAAGACGAACCCTTTTCGGCAGTGCCGACTTTGCCGTGACACATCTTGCACGCCCTGCCACGGTGGCTGGATCCGTCACTACCCATGGGGTTTCTTTGTTGGTTGGATCTGGATTTGATTTTTCTCGCCGCAGCTGGATATTCTGGATCGCATCGCCGGCACCTCGCCTCTTGCGGACAGCTACTGCGCCGCGCTGTCTCGACTACGGCAGTTGGAGGGCCGATTGGACGAGCTGGACGAGCTGGACGACGAGGGAGAGAGGGCTACCATGCAAAAGATCGTGGATGCGGTGAGGGGTTGAGAGGTGCGGTGTCCGGTGCTGTGATGGGTAAGAGCAGGTCAGCAATGGTGGTGCTGACGGCAGCTGCGTAGGAAGGTTTGGGCTTGACGTACTGTACCGTGCTGTACTGCAGTGTACTGTACCGTACTGTACTGTAGGACTTTTACGGTTTCATTCCGTTCTCATGGGTGCTGGGAAACACCACCGCCTTATGCTCTTATGCTTAGGGCTCTGGGTATTTTCCTGTGCGACCTCTTTTGCTGTCTCTCCCCCCTCCTTTTCCCCCGTCTCGCCCGGGGCCTCTGCTCCGTGGTGGTGTTCAGCTTGAGAAGGTCGCTCCGTAATGACCCTTCGGAAAACTCAAACACGTCCGTATGTATGCATGTATGCATGTATGTATGTATGTATGTATGTATGTGTTAACTTGTTCCTTTGCGCAGGTCGCCAAGTTGCGTGTGCAGCCCGGCGAGGAGCGGGAGCTCAGACGCACGCTCAAGAAGATGGAGGTGCGACTTGCGTGAGAAGAGCTGACCGGTGGAAGGCCACCCGGTGCAAGACGGGGAAGGGCGAGGGGGGCGGGGGAGGGGCAGTGGGGGGGGGAAGGAGCACGGGCTGCTCCTCGGGGAACCCCCACGACTCTCTACACCTGTACGGCAAACACACACATACCCACACCTGCACCCCGGCCCAATTGATTCCACCACCTCGGATTCCACCACCTGCCACCTCGGCCTGCCGTGCTTTACTTGGTGTTTTGGGCGTCTGCAGTCCTTTCTAAACTGAACTACATTTTACAGGGGTGGTAATACCCTCCTCCAATACCCTCCTCCAATGCCCTCCTCCAATGCCCTCCTCCTGCCTTCCGTTAGGCCCGGCGAGCGGCTGTGGAGCAGTGTGGTCTGGTCCGCATGGCGCTGTGCGGGGAGGGGGGCCGGGGCGGCGTCACGGACGCGCTGAGGACCATTGAGGCTCAGCTCAATGCCATCCTGGCGCAGGAGGAGCAGAACCGGGCCATGGCGGCGGCGGCGGCTGCGGCGGCCAAGGGGCTCCCCGCGGGTGGGTGGGTGGGGAGGGAGGGTGAGGAGGGGGGGGTGAGGAGGGGGGATAGTAGTGGTGGAGATGGTCAGGGTGGACTCGCAAGGCGGGGGACCCAAGGTGGAAAAAGGTGAGAATAATATGCATGAGGGTGGTGGCGTGCGAAGTGTCTAAGCGGCGTATTTCGTGTGCGTGTGTAGGTTTGTGTTTTCGTGTCACTTCGTGGCGACTGGATTCTCGCCCCGGGCTGCGGGGAGCATGTGCAGACCAGCCGATGTCTTACAACGGTAACCCACGGCGGCTACCGAGGTTCAGCACGCCAGATTAAGCTTGCACGGGGGGTTTTCTGTTCCTCTTAGCGGGTGGTTGCTGTTCCTCTTAGTGGGTGGTTGCTGTTGACTCGTCGGTCGGGGTTCGCAGGAGGAGCCCGGGGTGCTGATGGCGACGTGGCAAGCAGCGGCAGCGGCGCTGGGGCCGCCGGTGCCGCCACCTCCGCCGCCGCCGCCACCACGGAAGACGAGGCCTTGGAGGAGGACGGTGAGGACGAGGAGGCCGGCGCTACCGCAGCTGGTTTACGGCTGATGGAGGAAGCACTTGAGCAGGTGGCGGCGGCAAAAGAAACTTTGGCGTCGGCGGAAACCACGGTACGACACATCGGCCTTCGCCAAACCGGGGAAGAAAGGCCAAGAACCTTTGTTCATCTGGTTGACAAAAATAAGGCCCCCGACCTTTGCACGGCGATGATGCGTTTACGTGAAGAATTTTTACATGTGTCAAAATTTACACCCAGTTTGGAACCATTGCCGTACACACCTCCCGGCACATCCTCCTCCACCTGGCTCGCATACAGCTGCTGATAGTCCTGGGGCTCTTTTTGTAACTCCTGCTGCCATTTTCCCATGCCTTACATTGCCTTGGTGCTCATGCGTGAGCCTCACGTGCACCCCTTCACATCACTCGACCTGTTTTCAACCCGTGCGGCCGCCGTTCTGCTCCTCCACCCCCCTGTACCCTCCCGCTCGCGGATTTCCCTCTCTGTCTCTCTCCTCTCCACTCCACTCCTCTCCCCTCCTCTCCCCTCCTCTCCCCTCCTCTCCCCTCCTCTCCCCTCCTCTCCCCTCCTCTCCCCTCCTCTCCCCTCCTCTCCCCTCCTCTCCCCTCCTCTCCCCTCCTCTCCCCTCCTCTCCCCTCCTCTCCCCTCCACTCCCCTCCTCTCCTCTCCTCTCCAATCCTCTCCACTCCCCTCCTCTCCTCTCCCCTCCTCTCCCCTCCTCTCCAATCCTCTCCCCTCCTCTCCTCTCCCCTCCTCTCCAATCCTCTCCCCTCCCCTCCTCTCCCCTCCTCTCCCCTCCTCTCCAATCCTCTCCCCTCCCCTCCTCTCCCCTCCTCTCCAATCCTCTCCAATCCTCTCCCCTCCCCTCCTCTCCAATCCCCTCCTCTCCCCTCCTCTCCAATCCTCTCCCCTCCCCTCCTCTCCCCTCCTCTCCAATCCTCTCCCCTCCCTCCTCTCCCCTCCTCTCCCCTCCCCTCCTCTCCCCTCCTCTCCACTCCCCCACGTTACCGTGCCCCCCTACGTGCGCCAGGTTCGTGCCTACGCCCGGCGCTACCAGTTCAGCCAGGCCGACCACGACGCCACCTCGGACCGCCTGGCCCGCATCGAGAGACTCATGAAGCAGGCGTCCGCCGCGATCTTCGGAGCCGGTAGGGGCGGCCGCAGTGGCGGCGGCGTATCGCGCATCATCAGTACGGAGCAGCTCCTGGAGGTGGCGGAGGAATGCTCGTCCAAACTTGCGGCGTACTACGAAATGGAAGGTATGCTGTTAAAGGGGGTTAAGGGTGTGCGTGTGTCTGCGCGCGTGCGTGTGTCTCTGCATGCATGTACCCATGCGGGCAAGCATGTGTCGTACGGGTCGATAGGTGACCTACTAGGAACTGAAGACCTAGCAACGAAGAAGAGGATGGTGGTAATGGAACAGCAGGGCGAAATACGTGAGGGGGAATACGTGAGGGGGAATACGTGAGGGGGAATACGTGAGGGGGAATACGTGAGGGGGAATACGTGAGGGGGAATACGTGAGGGGGAATACGTGAGGGGGAATACGGGAGGGGGAATACGGGAGGGGGAATACGGGAGGGGGAATACGGGAGGGGGAATACGGGAGGGGGAATACGGGAGGGGGAATACGGGAGGGGGAATACGGGAGGGGGAATACGGGAGGGGGAATACGGGAGGGGGAATACGGGAGGGGGAATACGGGAGGGGGAATACGGGAGGGGGAATACGGGAGGCAGCAGGATTGTGAACCCCAAATAAACCCCGTCCTCCACCACAGGGCAACGGGAGGAATGGGAGGCCCAACTAGGGGTCCTGGTGGACGAGATCCGTACAACCGCATTGCAGCTGTCCAGTTGCCGGCGGGCCGCCGCCGCTGCGCTGCGGTCCGCCGTGGAGTCCTGTCTTCGGGAGCTGGCCATGGGGGGCAGCCGCTTCGACGTGCGGATAGGCTGGGCTGAGGAGCCGCGGAGCGTGGGGGCTGCAGCTGAGGGGCTATATGTGGGGGAGGAGGAGGCGGAGGAGGCGGGTCTGGGGGAGCTCGGTGGCTGCACGTATGTGATGGGGCCGCGGGGGCTTGACCAGGTGAGGCGGGTGGTAGGGGAGGAGGAAGAGGAGGAGGAGGAGGACGCGGCGGGAGTGGAAAATGGCTTAGGTTGCCTTTCCTTGCCTGGTGTATTGCCTGGCGCTGTTTTCCCACCCATGGCCTTTGCGATTTTTCCACTCTTATTTTCTCATGCCACTTCCAGTATTATCTTCAGTGCTGCACGTCTTGTGTCTTTCAATGTCGGTGAAGCTCCTCCCCCTTGAACATCATACTTGAACATCACATCGCGGAAGAGTGTCGTGTCACGTCAAACGTCACGTCGAACGTCATGTATGTTCACCGCCGTGTGCCGGCTGCCGGCTGTGTCGCCAGGTGGAGTTCCTCCTGGCAGCGGGTCCCTCGGAGCCCCTCAGACCGCTGGCGGCTGTCGCTTCGGGGGGCGAGTCAGCGCGCGTGATGCTGGCGCTCAAGGCGGCACAGGCACAGGCAGCGGCTGGCGCCGGCGGCGCGAACGGCGCGCCGCCGAGTCAAGGTCAAGCTGATGCGAGATCTCCACCCATGACGGGTGCGTAAGTATGTATGCATGTATCTATGCATGTATGTATGTGTGTTACATCCGGAGATGGACGGATTTGCGTATGTATGTACGGCAGGTGGTGGTGTGCCCATCTTAATCCTGGACGAGCTGGATTCCGGCATCGGTGCGCGCCTGGGGTCGGCGGTGGGTTCCATCCTGGCACGGATGTCCCAACCGACCCACGGGTCCAACAGCCAGATCATTTGTGTGACGCACCTGCCGCAGGTGAGGGGCAGGGCTCGGGGAGGGGCGTCCTGGGGGAGGGGCGGAGCGGGCAGGCGAACATGCAGACAAACACACACGTGCAGCATCGCGCGGCGGTTTGTTGTAAGAGACGTCTTCTCTTTCTAGGATGCATTCAGCAAACACGCAAGTTGTAAGCGGACAGCCACGTCCCCCGGGTGGCCCCAAGCAGGTGCAGAGTTAGGCTTGTTTGTGGGCATGTCGGGATACCCATGTGCTACGCCACGCGTTGCTGGTGTCGAACTAAACTGGAGGGGTTGGGGCCTGCTGCTGCTGCTGCTGCTCGTGTGAGCCGCGGAAGGAAGGGAAGCGGCCCAGAGGCTGCTAATGTAGAGCCCGAGAGCTGTTAAGAGACCTGGGCGGGCGCATCCTGGTGATGGTGGTGGTGGTGGTGGTGGTGGTGGGTGGGATAGGGGTTCGCTCTATAGGGGTTACTCTAGGCATACCCACAGTGCATCATGTCGCAGGTGCCAGTGCAGGTGTACATGGCTGGGGTGTGACATCGGAAGCTTGCGGGAATTGCGACTCCGTGCGTATGTATGTCTGACTGCGTCCATGGTGGCGCACGGCACGGGCCCTGTGACGGCACAGTTGGCCCCGAGGGGGGGGGAGGAGGAGGAGAGGTACACGCTGTATGCGCGTTCGTGTGTGCGAGGGGCGAAGCGGCGAGAATGGCGGTGTGTAGGGCTTTTGCACTACTTATTGCCCGGGCCCTCCCATGCGGCTTCCATCCCTGCCCTGCCATGCCATGCCATGCCCTGCCCTGCCCAGGTCGCCTGTTACGCAGCGCACCACATCAAGGTTCAGAAGCAGCTCTCGCAACACGACCAGCTGCTCAAGGCCGGCTCCAGTACACACGCCAATGCTGCCAGTGGGGGTGCGGGTGGGGGTGCGCCGTCCGGTACTGGAGTCACCGGCGGCGGCGCCGCAGCCGCAGCGTCAACGGCTGGGCGTGTGACGACGACGTTTGTGCCGCTGATGACGTTTGAGGAGCGGTGCGAGGAGGTGGCGGCCATGCTAGGTGCGTGGGGGCGTGGGGGCGTACTGGGCGGTTCTCCTGAAATAAGCTGAAACTCTGCTGCTGCGTCTGCGGCGCGCGTTTTATCTCCCGGGTTGCTGTCGGTACGGCTGTGGGGGAAGCGCATAGGGCTGCTGGGATTGCTCCGCCTGGTTTTACTACCTGTCGCTGCGCCGTTCCGTTGCTTACTTGTGGACGCCTGGTCTGTAGGACTGGATCGCGGTGTGGCGGAGGAGATGCTGTGTGGGGCTCAGAACCAGGTGTACCCCCGTCCAGCGGAGGGAGGGGAGGCGCCCCATCTGGTGGCGCCACGTGGCTTGTTCCCGACGACCGAGGCCGCCAACGCCGTCAACGCCGTTACAGCAGCCCAGCATCAAGAGCAGCAGCGGTGTCAAGTGCTGCCGCTAGGTGGTGGCGGCGAGGGCGCAGCTGCAGCAGCGCCCCTGCCCACGCTGGAGTCCAGCAGCAGCGGCAGCAGCGGCAGCGGCGGCAGCGGCTCCTCGCGTGGCGAAGACGCATGGCGTGTCGTACAGGACACGTCATGTGCCGCTGCCGCCGCAGCCGCTGATGACGGAAACGGCAGCAGCAGGTTCGCTGGAGGGTTCTCGGTCGTGGTGTCTCCCGCCATGGATCCAAATGCCGTACTTCTTGGTTACGAAGCGGCAAGCATCAGCAGCAGCGGCGGCGACAGCAGCAGCGGCGGCAGCGGTGGCAGCAGGAGAGTCCCGGATAGAACCATTAATGTGAATCGCGGTGACAGCGGCGGCAGCGACAACGATAGCGAGGATTTCGAGGCGGAAGAAGCTGAGCTCTCCGTACAGCTCCTGGCGGGAGTGGAGGCTGCAGCGATGGAGCACCTGAAGAGGATGGAGGCGCAGGCTAAGGCCGCGGCTGCGGCGGCCGCCGCTGCCGCGGCGATTGTGACGCCGGCGGAGGCGAGCGTACTGTCGCCGCAGCCATCGGCGTCGCCAGGCCTTCTTCGCGAAAGCTCAGCGGAAGCAGCACTAGCGAAGAAAGAGGAGGAAGACGACGACGCAGCGGCGGCGGCTGAGGTTGCTGGGGTTCTTAGGCAGCCTGTACCCGCGAGTAAGGGAGAGGCGGAGGCGGGGTGCAAGGATGAGGAGAAACCGGGGGAACAGGACCAGGGGCCCCCACGTACCGCTACTGCTGGCGGTAGAGATCTCGAAGTGGCGAAGGCTGCACATTCAGCAGCGTCTGGCGCTTCAGGTGCGCACCTTGGGGATGAAGGCGATGGCGGCGGCAATGGTAATGGTAATGGTAATGGTAATGGTGGCGGCGACACCACGTCGGTTCAAAGCAGCGTGTGGGCGCCGGCGGTATCCTCGACAGCAGCTCCGACTTTGAGCGATGATGACGCCACGCTCGGGTTCGGAGGCGGTGCTGGCGACGTGGCGGGCTCGGAGACATCTTCCGGCGCCGCCGCAGCGGCCGCCTCTTCCAATGGTCTGGAACGGCTCGACGCCGTGCCAGCGGCGGCGGCGGTTTCAGGCTCCGGCGGCGGTTTCGTCGTCACCGTACGGCCATCAAGACCGCCGTTGCCGTATGATTTCAGCAGCGGCAGCAGTGTGGGCAATGAGGAAGAGCTGGAGCCCACCCGCGGGCCGACCAAACAAGGCGACAATGTCGTACACTTGGACGAGCAGGAACGCGGGTCGGCAATTCCGTACGATGCACACTACGAGATATCTACAAGCAACCAGGCCCGGCAAGAGCAGCAGGAGTTGTCGTCGCCGTACGTCGAGGCCGCTTCATATTACGAAATAGTAGATGCCCCGCACAACATGGCGGCCGGCAACGGCGGAGCCACGTACAGCCTTGGCGGCGAACACGGCGGTGGGGCTGCGGGTGGGCGCTTCGTCCTGGTGCCATCCGGCCGGGAGGACGAGTTCAGCGAGATGTTCCGGACCATCATGTCCTTCAGGTACGGGAGGATGACGCCGCACGCACGAACAAAGACATCATCCGGGAGCGGGTGCGGACATTTACCCCCCTTGGTGGTCAATTGGTGGAGCTCTTATACTAGATACTGGCCGGGGCTGTTGTCCCAAACCTAGGATCGCGGCTGCAGCTTCATACAGCGATACAGATTGCAGCGCTTGAACAGCGCGATATGCCTCGCAAGGGTGATGCGAGCCGGAGACCGCATGCATCGCTCGCTGGGCATATTGTTGTCACTTGTGTCATGTGGCATCTTGGGGTGTATCGTTTTGGGGTATTTGTAAAGCCACGTTTGCATGGCTTTCCTCATCGTGCCCATCGCCTGGCCTCGCATGAGCGATGCCGCCGTTGCTGCTGGGGCGGCGGCGGCAGCTTCAGCTGCCGCATGCGTCGCCACTTCCGCCACTTCTTCTTGGTCCACCAAATCCCTCCTTTGCCATCCGCCTTGTCGCGTACATACGCATCCACTGGTTTCCACGTCGACATATCCCCCCCGGTATTTTGACCGCCTAGGCACCCGGCAAGGGCCCGACCCGATAGCCGCCGCCATCGCGTTGGTTGCTGTCTGTGCCTGCAGCGGGCAGCTCCCTTTTAATAGCTCAATACCCTCGACCCACTATCGATCTAGGTTTTTCGTGCTTGCCCCATTGACATCGCGCCGGAACGCTCTCCCCCCCCTCCTCCCCGTCATGTAGTCGGGAGGACTACGCTGCGGAGGCGGTTCGGAGCTACGAAGCCACGCTCGTGGAGGCGAGTGGGAGAGGGAGAGGGAGAGAGAGAGAGGGGTTAGGGCCAAAGGACCCGCACCTCAACCGTGGGTGAGGTCGCCAAAAGGACTGGCAACGTAGTCCGCACCCAATGTTGGATGACGATTGGGGAACGAGGGGCCGATATTGAGCCGGACCGTACCTTTGAAAGTCGGGGAAAACCCCGTGTTGAAAGCGCGGTTCGGCGGTTGTAGTACACATGCCGTACACCAAAGTCCTTTATGCGGGAGATAGTGGTCCTCCGTTTTTGCCATCTTGTGGTGTTTCGCTCGTCTGACGGCCCTGGGCGCCACTGCGCCCGCTTCCTCATGCATTTCTAGTTGCTGCTGTTATCCTTGCTATCCCTGCTGCTGCTGCTGCTGCTGCTGCTCACGTATGGTTTGCTGGTGTTGCTGGGGGCCCCCCGTCTGCAGGCGCTTCGAGATGCCGGGTTTGGGTAGAAGGTTAGGGAGGTGCAGGCGGCGTACTGCGATGCCTGGCAGGGAGGCCTCGAGGTTGAAGGGGTGGGTGGGGCGATGCAGCAAAACCGGCGAGCGAAGCCCTGCGTTTGGGGGGTACGCAAGGGAGCCGACTCATGCAGCGACCCTGGAGCCGAGCCAGGCGCTGTGCGCTTTGGAGTTGTGGGTTGCGGATCGTCAAGATGCCAGGTGTCGAGGATTGCATTAAGCAGGGGCGAGCCAGAGGTATGTCAATGGGTGGCGATTTAGAGCGGGAGCAGGTTTCGGAGCTAGCCTGTCAGCAAGCGGGTCGGAGAGTTCGCAGGAGCCTGGGGTTGGGGCAGCGTAGCTTTTTAACTTGGAGAAGAAATGGCGTCATGTGTGGTGTTTGGATGCCCGGGCAGGATCGGGCAACATCTTCGATTTGGGTCAAGATGGAGAAGAGGCGTTCATGATATAATGTACAAGTATGCGGCTTTCTTTAGTTTGTTTTGATAGTTATGTGTTTGTTCTCGAAGTTTGATTCGGGGTATGAGAAGCCAAAATCGAGGGGGCATTGCACGAACGGACCTCCGGAGATGTGAGAGAAAGAAAGAGCACGGCCGGACGCGGAGCCGTGTTGAGCTGCTTGGTAGTATGTAGTCCGTGACGCAGGGCGTAACTTTTTTTATTGTGGTAAACTCTTCATGTCAGCGGGTTGGATGACTTTGTGTTTTTGCAGGTGTCGCGAAAAGGTGTTGGTTGTAACGGCCAGGCCGGAAATCTGGGTGTGGACTGCGCGTATGCTGCGGATAGACAGGTCTCGGATACTCGCTGCTTTCAATGCCCCGTCCTAGCGGGGGCCATGCACGTCCGTTAGTTGGTCGCAGTGTCCCTCGACTCTCTAGCTGAGCTCTAGCTGCGGTGCCAGAGCCCGGCTGGTAAGGGGCCTTGGTCCGGTAGTCCTGGGTGGTTGGTTGGCAGTTGGTAATTGCCACTGTTGGCTTCATGTTGTTTTCGTTGATTCCGTTTCCTAGGCGGTTATCATGGCGTCAATCGATCTGTCGCACTTTCCAAGTTCTCTGCTGTACGTGTGCAATGATGTGGAGGTGGGGTGATGTGGCTAACATTATTGTGTCGCAAGGATAGTGCTGTGATTTCTGTCAAGTTAAGGACGCCTAATCTTTTTGCTTTAGCTTCTTTTTTCTACATGTATCGATAGTGTTTCTTTCCTATTTCCTTTCCTACTACTTCCTGTTATGATGGATATTCATCTTGAGTGCTATGCTAACTATGCGTGGTAATGTTGTGGGCAGGCTACTGCCGGGGTAACCGAATTCTAGTCGACTAGTGCCTGCAAGTGCCTTACACTGTACAACTGATAGTGTAAGTGCAACGGAGTGTGCGATATCCAGCTGTGGCCGGCTCGTGAATTACCAGCTCTCAATGCACCCCCGGTCCATCCCGGTCTCACGGGGCTAAGGCCCCGTTCGAAGAGCCTCGAACAGGACCTCTGGTGCATCTGGGGCACAAACACAAACACACACACAAACACACAGACAGACAGACAGACAGACAGCGGCGCGTGGTTATCTTTCCAAGGAGGGGAAACCTGGACAGGAGCGGCATCCGGGTCACACAGGCTTACTTACATAAGCGTGTTTCGGGCGCGGCATCAATTAAGATGTACGGCAGCCTCAAAACAACACCGCTTCAAAGGAGCTGCATCCCGTCGTGCAGCACTGCTGTGCCGGATGACGTCACTGGACTACGAACCTAGAACACTACTTCAGTACACGCCGGCCGGCCGCACGACACTATACGACGTGTCGTCAAAGTAAACCCCCTGCCACCGGAAAAGCAAGAGTAGTACCATATCTCTTTGCCAAATCGGTACAGGACATCAGGAAGACTTTTTTTCACCCTACTTCGCGGCTCAGTCCACAAGTGGAACAGTATACAATATTGTATTGTCTCTCTCTCTATATATATATAGACACCTTGAGCATGCCGCAGAAACTAACCACGAGCGCGACCACCATGACCACAACTGCTCGAAACTTACGAAGGATGTACGAAGGATAAACTGTTCGAAAGCGTCATGCGCAGTGCGCAGCTATGTTCGATCAACAGGTTTTCGACTTACAACTCTCATACATAGTGCTGCGCCCTGGTCCTGCGTGATCTGGTCGCATAGTTTGTCGTACCAAAGACATTCTACTTCTAGCCTTTGCCTAATCAGCAATTTACAACAGCTCGCAGCGGGATACGAACGTAAATGCCCGAAATGGGCTCTAATTTTGAGCAGGTTTCAATTCTTGCGCTGCGACAGAACCTCAGCAGCATATATCATCAGTAGGACTGTAGCAGAGCAATGTACGGAACCCAACGGCGTACAGCCGCGCAAAACCGACAGAAATGTAAGATCCATCATGTAAGCACCCACTATAAACCTTAACGCAACACACATGCGGTAGGCGTACGCCAAGGCATACGGCGATGCACGCACGGCGTCTACTTTGTGTTGGGAGCTGGAAACGACCCCATCGTGCGGAAAATGGCGCTTTCACCATCCACACCTTCATCAGCACAAATCGACATAAATTATTATGCCGTGCACTCGCACCTTCACAATTTTTCCCTCCAACGCCTCGCCACTGGATGGTTCCTTAATATACATCTGTCCATGATCCAGCACTACTTGAGGTCGTTTAGGCCCGCAGCCTGCGGGGCAGCCACCGATGGCGCCGGTGCCAGCCGGACTACCTTAGTCGGCAGCGGGGCCCTGGCCGTCGCCCCGGCTCCCGCGGCAGGTGGCGTACTGCCGCTGCTGCTGCTGCTGCTGCCGCTGCTACTGCTGCCGCCGGCCTCGGTGCCACTGGGCGGTGCAGAGCAGCCCTCCGGAAAGGCCACGTTGGGGGCGCAGCAGACCTCCTCACTGGCGTACACGCCCCAGCCTGACGGGTTGAAGAGAAGAAAAGGGCGACCCGATTGAACGAGTATTTTTGAATTGCTCCCATGGAAACGCTAATCGATTTGCGAGGGTGTGTGTGGAGAGACCACCGCGGTAGCTGCCCGCCGACCCAGAGGTCATAGGCAGCAGTGTCGGGGCCAGGGACGGTTTCAGGGGGGGGATGACAGGCTCGTGGCCCGTCGGCGTTTTCATTTGAGGCACCACGTAACTACGCTGAGTGGGGGCGTGCAGCTGCATCGGGGTCGCGTCATCATGCATCAGCCGTTGTGTGACAGGGTTTGTAGCAGGGGCTATGATGCGTAATGGACCCGCTTGATCGCTGACGGGACGTGGTTCACATGTAGCAACACGCAAATGTAATGCAGGTTTAGATCCCCGGCCAAGCTTCTGTCCTGGTAGTTGTCGGTGCTGCTTGTTACGGCGGTTCTGTATAGGAGCGTATTGGGAGTGTGAGAGCCTCTAATTCAGGAGGAATCAGGTCGTCGTACACGCTCTTACCTCTGTTGCACACCGCGATGTCATCGGACGCGACGCACGTGCGAGCGGGCCAGTAGCTTCCCACCTGTACCGCAACACACGACCAATGTACGGCAACATACGTCCTGCCATGGAAAAACCCCAATAGCCCTACACTCCGGGAACAAAGCGCGCATGAAGGCCGTACAGCAGATAGATAGGTATGTATGCATGTATGTAGGTAGATACACCCCTAGTACAAATTACTAGCTGACACCACAACCCGATACAATCTCCGGCCCGGATGCATTGCCATTCCCGGGTCATGTAGGAAACCCACTCAAACGCCGTACGAAACGCCCCTAACGGGTTGTCAGCCACATCACAGCATCACCCGGTGCCACGTACCATGAAGCACGGAGTGGGGGGCGGTGCAGGACTACATCCCTCAGGGAAAGCACCGCCCTTAGCGCAGCAAGCTTCCTTCGTGGCCCAGGACTGCGCCCCCGCACCTGGTGGCGGGACATGCGTTCATTAGCGGGGCGGGACCATTAAAGTGAGAGCAGCAGAGCTCTCCAGGGAGCCTACTGCCGCGGCAGGATATCCCCCTTACGTATTTCCATCTGTTCTGTTCATGTACAGCCTTGGTACGGTGCCTATCCAGGTCTCGTGCTTTCACTGCTGCTTCTGATGCTGCTGATATTTTATCAGGACACCCATGACGGCAGCGAGACAGGTGGGGCTCCAACGGTGGGCTTGGAGTATAGCAACGTGGTCGGACCCTGTCTATCTGTCGGTCCGTCAGTTCGTCCGTCCGTCCGTTGTTTCCTACCCCCGACTACGCATGCTCTATACCTCTGCCCTGGCCCAATCAAGGTAATAAAATGCCGGCAATACACCCAGGGCCGGTAGTTTATGAATAGCACTCCAAACTTAACGATTCGAAATACGCATGTCAAGTTGGAACTCACGAGGCGCGCAAAGGCTGGTTGAGTTGCGGCAGAGGCGGGCAGGGAAATAGGTGTCCACCACCCAGCAGCTGTTGCTGGCGGAGGTGGTCTCGGGCGGCAAGCAGCCGTCAGGAAAGGCGGCACCCGGCGAGCAGCAGACCTCCTCAGAAGGGAAAACGCCGTATCCTGCGGTGTAACATTCGTCAGGACAGATATGCTGTACGCACTTTACGACAAGCGCAGGTGTTACGACGTGTGATGATGCATACATGCATCCGGATGGCAGCACGCGTGATCTAATTCCACGGCCTGCCGGGACATTTAGCCAGAAATGTTTTCATCCAAACGCAAAACCTCAAGAAGGGGAAGCACGGCGAACCCGAACGAACCCCAAATTCCCATACGGAGTAGCTGTCCATCTATTTAGTGGAAGGAAGGACGCGTCTCCGTGCGGAAAGCAACACCTCTTTCAAGGTATGGATAGCAGTGCATGTGGTGCCCATGCCCCTCGCTCATCAGCGCATTGGCCGTCGTAAGTCCTCCTCCGTCTCCTCCCCTGCAAAGTTTCCATCCCCCTTCGTCCGCACCCACCCTGGAGGCACCGCCGGTTGTCCTTCCAGCAAGAGCGGCTGGAGGGGCTCTCCGCCACCCAGCATTCCTTGGGCCGAACGCTGCAGCCGTCCGGAAATGCGGCACCCGCGGCACAACAAATCTCCTGACTGCCCCAAACGCCCCAACCTGGGGCAGAGACGCGGCAGGAGGAAAATGGCATTCCTATCAGCGGAACTAAGCAGGACAACGGGATCAGAGACGGAAGCAGAGGCAGCGCATTGCGCTCTAGTTGCTTGGCCTGTCACACAAAATGTGGCATTATGAGTGTGTTTCTTAGGGTGGTGCGGCTGCTGCGGCAGCAAAAGCTGCGGCGCGTCGGCGGCATTAGTCGCGGGCAAAGACATGTAGAGCAACAAATTCGTGGTGAAGCTTAACCACTCTGTAACAACATCAACAAATTCGATCACTCATGCGAAGCAGCGAGCCAAGCGCGATGATCAGGCAAGAGCAGCAGCCGTAACGGGCGCAGCAGCTGCAGGTACAGCAGCAGACAACAGCAGCAGCAGCAGCAGATGAGAAGCGAAATAATGCCGTCATCTGCGTCTGCTGCTGCGGCAGCGGTAGAAGGGCAGGAGAGGGTGCAGGACAGAATAGAGTAAGAAGAGTGCGGCAACATCACCGAGCCACGGGTAGATATGGAAATGAGAGGTTTTACGAGCACTGAGGCAGGGGTCAGCCTCTGGCAGGTACAGCTCGGTAGAGCCATTACTAACCGCACTAAGCCCATGCACATCCCTCCACCGCGTTCCCAGTACACAATCACATGCTCACGCACAGTCTCACTGCCACGGCAGCTGATGTCATCACCATACCTCGCTTGCATACTTCGGTACTGCACTCCGCCCGGCATGTCTTGTACGGCCTGTACGAGCAGTCAAGTGGCATGTACGGTCGACAGGTCAAAACACGCCACGGACCGCAGAACACGTTGGATGAGCGATGACAAACATAAGTCAAACTTGCATCTCTACACCTCTGCCATGCATTCCCGCATCTCCACACAGAGTTTTGCGCCGTACGGTATGACACAACGTATCCTTACCAGTAATCGGCCACTGTGTAGCAAGGTCTGTCGCAGGGCGCCGAGAGCTGGGGTTCCGGAGCAGCGGTCATGCCTGTCGTACCGGTGGCCGCGCCTGGGTCGGCAGTGACTGTCTTTGGCAGGAGAGCTCGTTTGGCCACGGCCGCAACCTTCGGAGTTGCCCTCGGAGCTGTAGTGGTGGCAATAGGACTGGCAGTAGCACTATCTGGGCCATTGCCCGTGGGCAGCAGCACTCTGGCAGGCGCAGCCTTGGGCAGCATGGCGGCTGCGGCAGGCTTGGGCAGCAGCGGCCTTGGAGCTGTACGGGAACCAGGATAGTAAGGCCCCCGCGTGCAAAATCCATAAGAATAAGAGGAGAAACACGGATGGATGGAAAGGAGGATTTCAAGGATTGTTAAGTTCGCCCGACTCATCGACAGCAGCAACAGGCATGTAGGCCACAAGACATTGACGACAGGACTGTCGTCAATGCGCGCTGCTCATGCTGTGACCGCGCTACTCTTCTTAAATCATTCCTAGGTTAAACGCACTATCGCAAAAGCCAACGGAGCATCAAAGCATTCATCAACATTCCGCATCCACCATCTCCTCCAAATTGGGACTGTGGGACAGCACGGGATTCGAAACGCTAACGCCAGGTCACACCACACCCCAGCAATAGGGAACCGCTGCAGGACCAGGAGAGCCGCAGCTGAAGACAGCGACGGCGGATACTGCCATCCAAACCAAAACTGCAAAAGCGACAGTCCGGCACGCTGGTGCCCCTATCTTTCCAGCCGATCAGGTCTTATCGGCAGCACGCCTCCTCCATCTGGTTGGGGGCAAATGGGACCTAGCAAGCAGCTGCAAATCGCCATCCTAGTGGTAGTGGTGGATGGCGGGGATGCCGAGTGGCGATCACGAATGACGGACGGCTTACCTGTCTCGGGGGTGGTGTCGACATCAGCCGCATCGGCGGACGTCTTGAGCGGGTCCTCACGAGCTGGGGCTGCGGCGGCTCTCATGTCACCCGCGAGGAGCGCGAGGAGCGCTAGGAGGAGGATGGGAAGGGTTGGCGGCGCGGTACACGTGCCGCGCCTGCGCTGGCTACTGGCTCTCAGGCCTTTCATCGTCATCGGCGCTGAGCGGGTCGGGTTGTAGCTAAGACTGGGTTGGGACTCAGACCTGACTTTTCCTTGTTATGTTGCCAGCTGCCGCAACTACAGGACTTCGTGTGGACGATGGGGTGCTACGGTGTTCTGGATTTCCTTTAATGCGAGTGTGGATAAGGTGCTACGATGGCTGGTAGAATGGTCTGCGAGAGGTAAGTATGGTCCACGGGGAGGGATGGCGTTTAATATAGCCGTATGGAAGTACCCAGCAAATTGGGTTCACGGCAAAGGAGGTCGGCGGCAGCGGAAGGTGACAGGTGCGCCAGGATCTGTAACTGATCTTGGATGACCCTGACAGCAGCTGCCGGGCTGTGTTGGGGGGCAGCAGGGGCAGCTGCCGCATGGAGGAGCCGAGGAGCCGAGGAGCCACCCATCAATCAGGATTTTGAGGGAAACTGGACGAGAGGAACCGAAACGCCGCGCCTAATTCGTCGAGGATTCTGTTTAGCTTTAAGTTTGTAATGCATGTGCACTATATGTTTGACGGTCACGTGATTTTAGGTGTTGCATGCAATGGGAGCATGCATTAGGAATACTGCTGCTTTGGTGGTATAACTGGCTGCCAAATCTTGACGTGGCATTGCTGCCATGGTCTCCTATAATCTACCCTTCCTCTATGGGTGACTTACCTGACACCCTATGGGAATTAAGAGGAAGATGCCACACAGCCACAGTGACTAGCGGGTCGGGGGGAAGCAATCGAGGTGCAGATCATGACTAACCGACCGAGCCGCGGGCCATGTCCACGTAACGGCAGCTTTGCCCAACACGATCACGAGTTCATGGCGGACACATACCGAGCGCCGAGAAATGCGATTCTTGACTGATACACTGACTTCAGCATAGATCGCAACCCGCCGTGCAATGCAGCTTAAGGCGGGCATGCAAGGAGGTCTCAGGAGAACAGTCGGGCGGAAGGGCGGGCGGGCGGGAGGGACAGCTGCGGTCAGCGGAGGGCGAGCCCTTGGGGGCCATACCCCGAATCGCCCCAACTCTGACTCCTCTGCAGTCTCTGCTTTCCCCTCGTTCGCAACATTCCATAGGGCCCATTGTTATAGATGTCGATACAAGTCATATGATGGTTATCGGAGAAGCAGCAATATTGCAGTCAGCCGTCGTGACAGTCTCCGTTGCTGCTAGAGGCTAGAGGGGAAATGCTTTTCTTTGCTCGCACCCTCTCGACCGGAGCCAGTCGCCTTTTTTTCCCGTGGCTATCGTTGGAACTCTTATTAGACAACAAAACTATGCACAGCTGCAGGAGTGCTTCGCGCTCGCCCAAGCAGGAGACGGCTGCCTAAGCAACCTCCTTTCCACCGTGTGACACGCATGCCATACCGTGCTACCCGCTAGCCATGCCACTACTTCGCACATGGTTGCAGGTGCACCTCAGGTGTCGTCTGTGATAAGCCTAAGGCGATGTCGGTGGTGGCAATGGCAGCCAGCAGCCTTTCAGGATTTGGAGGCGACGGAGTACAATATTTTGAGAATTCTTTCTGACCCACTGGTTCATGTTCGGATAAGCGCCAGTATCATAAATGGCCTTTGAACTCCAAACCCTCCATGTCTTCGTGGGACTGGAACTCACAAACGCACCCTCCAGGGGGCGGACGGGCGGGGCCCCGTGTTGCAAACCCCTTCACACGTTCAGACTCGATGAACAGACATTACCCAGGAATCATAACAACATTGCAAACAATTGTGCGCGAAACATTCATCGTTGATCATGCGGACCTGAGGGCAACACGTCTCATCGAGTTGTGACCGAGCAAGTGGAAAGGAAAACGGAACCGGAACACGGAGCACATGCGCACATCGCGGTTTGGTCAAAAATGCCAAGGAAACGTCATATGGTAAGACACGCAGAAAGACTTCTTAAAACCTAGATGCATGTATGCATTTGCACAAGCACCAGCTCCCCTTCCTGACCCCCTCATTCCCATCCTCACTAGCCGAGAGGAAATTAACCCAATATGTCGTACACGAAATAGTTCCTCTGATGACATGGCAGCGGTCGTACATGAATCTGGCCTTACAACAGGCGACCGGGGTGCGACGGTGACGAGGAATACGGGGATAAAGACCATGACAGTGGAAGGGTGATGATGGGGGCCTCGAACCGGACGCCGTGCGCGGCTGGTAGCCGTCGATGCAGGCGCCGTCCTCGTCTGATGCCTCCTTTGCCTAGATCCTGTGCGGGAAACCGATTTGTCGATCTCTGGTTAGTCTCCACTATATCGTACAGTGTTGGTTAACAGCAACCGCTTCTGGTGCATGAAAGACTTTCATCAATAAAACTCATCAATAAAATGTACCAATTATACCTGACTTCCACCTGCTTGCATACCATCAGGAAAATTTTGTCAGTAATCCTTGACTGCCATCGTCGATGGACGTGGTCCTTGGCATTGCCGGTGCGAAAGCTAACATGTAGTAGCTGCTGACAGTGCAAGCTAGCAATTTGCTATGTAAAACGTTTGTGTGATTTCGCAGCCAAATCCCTGGATGCTGCGTATCAGTTGGCGAAGGCACTTCACGGACCTAATGAATGGGCGTGGCAGGAAGACATCGGATTACAGCCCACGCCTGTGTTACCTTCGAGGGTGAGCCTGTTCGACAAACCTTTTTTAGCCAAAAATTCTATTCCGTTTGCCTCCACACCTTCGATAACATCCCCCCTGCAGGCACCCCAGGCGGCGTCGCGGCTGCTTCTCAGTCATAACAGCCGGTGAGGAACTCCAAACTTGCTCCTTAGTACCGGCCTACTACGTTTCGTGTCCCCCGCCTTACACGCCCGAAATGGTGTTTCCACGATTGGGCTGTCAGGGCGGTCCACCTGTGTCTCACGCACTGCCCGACTGATGGATGCATTGTACGGTGCCGGTCGTTCGCTCAACCCATCCTCTACCTTCCTACCCTACCCTTGGCCCCCCAAATTGCTGTAACCTTTTCCCCTCCTAATACAACCTCGCCTGACGCGGCCACCAGCGCATGCAGGTGCCCATTTTGTAAGCTTTCCCTCTTCCCCCTCCCCATCTCTCTTCACGTCCTCTCCCCTTTTAGAATTCCACCTGGCGAAGCTAAGCTTTTTTCCGCTGCAGCCACGCACCCTTTTATGCCCTGACCGTCGCCCCTCTGGGCATTCACGTCTGACCGCATCTTTTGCCCTGGGCCGGCTTTCCAAAATGTCCTTAAAGTTGACAAATCCCTCCATCCGCCTACCAGTACTGCCTACATCTTGGTAGCCACACACGCCCCGGCGGAGGCGCTGCTCAGAGCGGTCGCCAGTGAAGCTCGGAAACAGCACCAGCAGCAACGGCAGCAGCAGCAGCAGCAAGTGGTGGCGGCTTCTCACGCGCTACGTGCGCCTGAGCGGGATGTGGCATCATCATCATCATCAGCAGCAACGCCCCCGGATGGGAGCGGCAGCTGTGGCGGCCACGGTGACGGCAGCTTTGTGACGCCGCCGCCACCGCTGATGCGGCTGCAGCAGCACCACGCTGCCGCCGCGAACACAATGCTGCTACAGCTGTTTCTGGTGTGCGACGCGGTGCTGGTGATGCTGCCGACAGGACAGGGCCTAGGCCTGGCGGGCGCGGGGACGGGGTCTGCGGCCTCGGACATAATGGGCCTAGGGGGGGGTGGCGGCGGCGGTGCCCTGGCGGAGGCAACCAACTGGATGTGCCGCTTGAGGCTGCTGCAGGTGCGAGAGTAGCGTATTTTTTTTAGCGAACATAGCTCGCCCCGTTTGGGTGCGTAATGGGAGTGCGTTGAAGCGCAGCGCGGCGTAACGCGTGGGTTTTCATCAACGATGTGGGATCCCACCACGTTTTCAGCCACAGACTGTATTCCGCGTAATTCCTAGGCTTTTGGAGATTGGGGTGTCTGGCGACGGACTTGGGGTGTGTGCGAATGGGGCCGGCCCCTAGGCGGAAGTGAGGAGGGGCTACACCTTGGAGAGGTCCTGTTCGGGTGTACAGTAGACGCGCTTGCTTGACTGGGCGCCGGGCGTTCGAAGGGGGGATCCCCTACGGCCCCGTGTGCAGGCCACGACCCGTGGCTGTGTAGTAGGCACGTAGCACCTCGTCTGTGTGTGTGTGTGTCACCGGCGGGTGCCGGGCCTTGCAACGGAAACAGAACCCACACTGTGTGTGGGGTGTGTGTAGGGGGGGAGAGGGGGGGACAACCCCATGCATGCACAATGTATATATGTATGTATGTATGTACTTTCTAGGGGACCCTCGTGCAGGTCGCCAAGAGCGACGCGTGTCTTACACAACAGCGGATTGAATGGTACGTACCATGATTTGCTCTTTTCTTTCCGTTCTCGGTCCGCACCCGTGAATCCGCTGAAGGGCCGGCAAACCCCCCCTTTTCCCCGCAGGGTGCGAAACGGGCCTTATGTCAGAGCCTGGAAGGCGGTGGCGGCGGCCGGCCGGCCAGCCAATCATCTCCGACTCGGCCGCCTGTGGCCCCAGCCATCGGTCCGGGTCCCCACTCTTCGCCGGTTTGTCGGCCCTCCGCCGCCGCCGCCGCCGCCGCTGCTGACGCCACACCGTCGACGTCGGGAACCGACGGGGACTCAGGCGGCGGTTGCGGCGACGAGGTGGATGTCCTGACCCAGCTGCGGTCGTGGTGCCGTACGTCCCGCCGCCCGCCGGTGCTGTTCTTCGTGTCGCCGGTGGGCTGGTGGGCTGATTCGCCCCGGGCGGGATCCCACGCCCGAGTGACTGTTTGTCTATCTGTATGTTTATGTATCTGTTCGAGAACGTCGATCTGTCCGATTTTTTCTTATGTGTTTGATATTCCTCAGGGTTTGTTTGTCGCAGCGGGCACCGGAGATCCTTTCAGTCTCTGTCGTCTAGGCCTTCAGGACCCCCTTCCTCCATTTCTTTAAATGCTCCGAAACCGGTTTTGATGAGGTCGGCCCTAGGAGAGTGGACAAATCACCGCCTTCCCTTTGTCGTCCGTCCTGTTATGTGTATGTATGTATGTGTGTATGTGCTACCCCCGTGTTCATTCTTCCGGATCTCTGCATTTCCCGGGTCTTCCCGGGTCTCCCACCCGCAGCTGCTCCCTGTACTCCCTGTGTGTGTGTGTGTGTGTCTGTGTGTGTGTCTGTCTCTCTCACGTGTTTCGAAGCGCCCTTCCCAGTCAGACCCCGTCGCGTGTATCCCCCCCGGGCCCGCATGTGACTGCAACCCCGTACTCGGAAACAGAGTGACAGTGAAGCCAGCGAGGCAACGCAGGCACCTGCCGCAGCAGCAGCAGCCGCAACCCGGTCAGCAACCCACCTCGGACACCGAGCCACATCCACCCACCGAGCAGCCGCTGCAGCGCAGACCGACTCATTTAAGGACGCCAATTCGTTGCTCCGGAACCTGCTCAAACGCTGCCGACCGGTGCCTCTGTCCAGCACTCCAGATTCGTCGCAGCTGTGCTTGTTCGATCCAAATGCTTTGGTTCTGGACCCGGGACCGCTGGCTCTGGAGCCAGTCGTCGTACATGCCACGGTTTTGGCGGCGCTTCTGGGGGCCGAGGACGCTTACAGTACGGGCCCGCCGTACGACTCTTCCTCAGGAGCGTTGTACGATGAGCCGCTCCCCATCGCCAGCGGCCAACGGCGGGGGAAAGGTAAAGGGCTGCATCGCCTGAAGGAATCGCTGGCGGCGGCGCTGGCAGCGGCAGCGGCGGTACGGGAGGAAGAGGGATCGGAGTCCCTGGCAGCGGGAATTGGTGGCAGCGGCAGCGGCGGGAACCGTTGCAATGAAGGCCTGGCTAGCGCGGCAGCCGGCGCAGTAGCACGAAAGCTGTGCATCGCTTGGCGGGCCACGGGCCGGGAGCTTTGCGATGCGGCCTTGGGTGCCTGGCGGCATGCGGTGGGACAGCCCCTGGACTGGGTCCCGTCTTGCATGGAAGGTACACCGCGGGGGGGCTCTGGGGCCTCTAGGGGGTGTCCGGGGAGTCAGCCTTCCAAGGTGTCAACATTTTCACCCCTGGCGCATGATTCGCCGTACTCCCGTTGGCGCTATCTCCGAAAAGGCGAAACCGTCATTGTGCAGTCTTCGCAGTCTTTGCAATCTTCGCGGTCGCCGCCGCCGCCGCCGCCGCCGCCCCGTTACTAAAAGAAGCCTCCGCGGCAATTACATCTGCAGTTAGCGGTACAAGCACTTCAGACTGGAGGACGAGTGCCTCGCATGCTCCAAGGACCCTACATGAGCAGCAGGCACTCCAAGGGCCCTATGGCCCAACGTGATTCATGGATGCACAGTTTTTTTGGTTCTACAGCACACACACACACCGGCTAGCTCTTGGCCTCTCAGAGCCCGAGGTAGTACGGGCTCCCCGTGATGATACCTGTGGTGGATAACGCGGTGACTCCAGAAGGCGGTGTAATACACACACACAACACACACACACGCGTCCCCCAAAATTCAGACACACACACACATCCCCCTCCCACCCACCCACCCCCTCCTGGGCTCGCTGCAGGTTCCCTCCGCCAGGCGGCTGCACCCACCCCCGCACCCACCGTCCTCTCCCGCGCAGG